TAGATGTACGATATCGATTTATACTATGATCATGAGAAGATATGGACTTCAGATACGCTAGTACTATAAGATTCATACTATATAAGATATAGGCTATAGATGGCACCACGGACATGGATGGCACTATAGACTTATACTTGTATTCCGACATTGACTACGGATGTTTACCATATCTGGATAGGCACCAAGATTAATGCAATATGAGCTTGTTGCTTCAGATGTGCACTTCATGATCCACGCTATAAGACACATGCTTATATCCGTGATACTAGCTACAGATACTTTATGTACTACAGACTTGTACTATATATGAGACATGCTATAGACATGCATACGATATGCTATAGACATGCCATATATCCAGATACATGCTAAAGATGTATGCTTAGCGATATACACTCAGATATGTACTATTAATATAGACTAAGAAGACTGTACCTATCGGATACATGCTACTAGATCGATATTAATTATCCTTATGGAAAGGATAGATCAGGGTACTTCGGATGAGAGTCTAATTATTCATCCAGACAGAGCTAAATCATGATTAGCTTGCTGGAGTTGTCTTTTGGCATGATTAGACATTAGTTGATCTGAGTTGACTTATTTGTCAATCTAATTAATAGAACTTTTATCCATTGTTATAGTATATAAGAAGGACCATCTACCTGGCCAGTAGAGAGACTTCAGTTTACTTTACACCTGTCAGTTTGATAATAAAATATACCTTTATCAAGTTGACATTACTGTTTTTTTATTCTTTTTTTTCCGTGAATTTTAGTCTGTAAAGCCTCAAATTCCACACCGACTATTACTACCATGCGCGTTGCCCATGTATGCATTTTTCTTTCAACAGCAACGAGCTTTTTTGAACATCTTTGATGTTGTGTTTGTTATGCTTTACTTTGACCCACTTTGTGTGAGTGTCTCTTTTTTGTCTACATACTACTACTATACTCTTATAGTTTTATGTTCTTTTTTTTTTACTTTCTTTTATTATTATTATGTTTCTTTGAAGCATACCTTTTTTTTACGTTGTGTGGATGTGCCTATCCCTGAAGCTCAACAAGACTTTATCCGAGGCTAGGAGGTAGATAGGCCGCCTCCACTTGGTTATCGCTACTTACTTTAGTGATGATTGAGAGTCTCAATGCCAGAATTTAAAAGCTAGGTGGTGTAAGTAAGGCATGCTCTAGCACCTGGGGGAAATTTGATGATAGCATCTGCTATACTGCTATATAGCGGAGCTTAAAATTTTGCCTCACATCAAAACAGGGGGAAACCCTCGCAAATTTTTTTTTAGTTCAGCGGAGTTTTCAAGCAATTTGATTGGCTAAGAGGTTGAAGCAACGAAGGTCTACAACTAGTTGATTTCCGCTTGATGTCATGTATTATAATTTTGTGTTTGTAATAAAAATATATTCAAATATTGATAAAATTTAAATCCTTTATTCAAAAGTAAGATAAGGTACAATTACTAGATCTGGCATCTATCGCACGGTTTTATGCGAGGGATATTCTTTAAATAAGTTCACTGCAGTATGTGAGGAAAGTTATATAGCTGCTGCAGTATACTAGGTACCAAGTATAATCCCAATGCCGTATGCCTTGCCAAACATACATCGTTTAAGATTGACTCCCAACATTCAATTTCATGAGCTGCTGTTGTGCTGGAAAGGCTACAAGTGTCTATAAGGCTTACGTTATTCTTGATGGGTATGTGGAATACATCCACTATGATCTGCATTCCGACAGTTCATCCAGTTACCAGACTTAGATATAAACTGTATGTACACTGGATTAGATGTACGATATCGATTTATACTATGATCATGAGAAGATATGGACTTCAGATACGCTAGTACTATAAGATTCATACTATATAAGATATAGGCCATAGATGGCACCACGGACATGGATGGCGCTATAGACTTATACTTGTATTCCGACATTGACTACGGATGTTTACCATATCTGGATAGGCACCAAGATTAATGCAATATGAGCTTGTTGCTTCAGATGTGCACTTCATGATCCACGCTATAAGACACATGCTTATATCCGTGATACTACTAGCTACAGATACTTTATGTACTACTACAGACTTGTACTATATATGAGACATGCTATAGACATGCATACGATATGCTATAGACATGCCATATATCCAGATACATGCTAAAGATGTATGCTTAGCGATATACACTCAGATATGTACTATTAATATAGACTAAGAAGGCTGTACCTATCGGATACATGCTACTAGATCGATATTAATTATCCTTATAGAAAGGATAGATCAGGGTACTTCGGATGAGAGTCTAATTATTCATCCAGATAGAGCTAAATCATGATTAGCTTGCTGGAGTTGTCTTTTAGCATGATTAGACATTAGTTGATCTGAGTTGACTTATTTGTTAATCTAATTAATAGAACTTTTATCCATTGTTATAGTATATAAGAAGGATCATCTACCTGGCCAGTAGAGAGACTTCAGTTTACTTTACACCTGTCAGTTTGATAATAAAACATACCTTTATCAAGTTGACATTACTGTTTTTTTATTCTTTTTTTCCGTGAATTTTAGTCTATCAAGCCTCAAATTCCACAATCACACTTTAAACCATCAAGGTTACATTAAATCATGCTATGACGATAGCTCACCCAAGCCCATCAAGGTTACTCAAATCGACCCTTATGGCCAGTGCTCCTGCATTGATTACCACTTTAAATCAAACATCAACAACATTTGCCAGATAACGCAATAGCAGCACCTATTGCTCTCTAACATCACTAATCCTACAAGCTAGTTGCAAATGTATAAATACTCTTCTTTTTTTTTTTTTTTACTCAATTCCAGGATCTTCAGTTCATTTTATACACAAATAAAATACAGTTGATTTCTATTGTATTTTACTATTGCTTTTTTTTGTGAAATCTATTCAAACCTGATTTCACTGCAAATCAAGTGAGGAAAGTGTGAAGTAACCAATTTATAAACGAACAATGTTTGGACGTTATTCCTCGATTAACTGTCAGAGTCAACTTGGCTTCTCCATTAATTGAATTTTTCTCCTCTTTGTTTGCTTTACAAAATGAGACCTCGTTTGAACTTGTACGATACTTCTTTATTTGTAAAAATCGTTTTTTCAACCCTCAAGTTGAAGTCTACAGTGGCAAAAACACGTTTATTTTAAATAACACCACGAAAACATCTATGTGGTGCTAAAGTCTATAAAATAAATCTAGGGCGTGGTATGACTAATAGCACTGTGCTAAAAGAATTTTATATACGCCATTACAGCACAAGTTAGCCTTGAGCGAGCGTTTTTCGACAATTTGGCTGGGGATGAACTTTTCGGCAGTGTAGGCCGCTGAAACCATTTAAACTTGATTTCACTACAATCTCTTGATGTCGAATCTTGTATTACAGAACTTGTAGGTATCATGAATCTCTGTTCGCCCGACTTTGATACAAATATCGCTGTTTGCTCCACCCACCCCCCCTCCCATTGTGCTGACACCGACCCAGACTCTCCAATTCCAGCCATTTCTCTTTAAATATAAGTGTTTAACATCGTGGATAGATCTTAAGTCTAGCTTCACGGCTAGATATGGCATCTCTGTTGTAAACAATCATCAAAAAGATCCTGCTAGCTAACCTGATAAGCATCTCATTCAATCTAAGGAAGTTATTAGATTCAAATTTGCACAATATCATTGACGCTCAGGTTATGAATTTACTGTCTTCTTCGCACATTTCAAAAAGAGATCAGAGCCTTAGAATCAGAACAAAAGGGTCGATCGCTTAGGCGTTGAGTTTCGTACAATGCAGAACATCAGAGACATCAGACAGAGCTGTAATTTATTTACTTCTTTAGCAACGCAACCAACTAGGCCTTATGTTTAGGCCAAATTCTGCCCAACTATAGCCATTTTGAAGCACGAATAACTCATGCTACAGAGCGTTGTAGACGCTTGGAATAGGGCCAAACGTCTCCTATTGGCCACGCTTTACTTGCTGGTGCTTTATCTCAATTTTTTTTGGGTCACTGCAAATTCATGAAAATCCTTACTTTTTGATGAGTATTAGTAAGGGAATATTCTTGAAAATCAAACGATCGCATTTTTCACCCCAAAAATGAAGACTTTTCCTATGATACATATAAGATCAAATCGATCGTAAAGACGAGATGCAGCACTGGATACTCTTTCTATGTGGTTTTCCTATGTAAAACTTCGGCATTTTGGCAAAAAACATGTTTTCATATTTTTGCAAATTGCTCATTATTTTATTAAAAAAAGATACAAATGGTCAGTACCATTAGAAGCGCACACATCAACTGTCTATAAACGTATTAAGAGGTAAGGTACAATATTCGCGACTTGTATAGTCGAATTTAACAAAAATCTTCAAAAGATATCAAATCAAGTCGCGTTTGACCACGAAAATTTCATTGCCAATAAAAAAAAAATTAAATGTCGCAGCTACTGAAAGGCAGTGCAGATTGCTCAGGAAAGCTCAAATCTTGCCACTCGCGACTACATCAAAGGCGATTGATATGCCATTGATAGAATATTAGGAAACTGGCCAAATAAAATTCTATCATTGATTTTGTAGGTATTTAGTGCATATGAATCATTCAACGAGTTTACAAAATCAGTGTACATCTCACGGAGAAGCGATTACAGCGGTAAATCCTAATAAATCTAGCAATAAACAACAATAATAACGGTGCAAACTAGATGTAGCTGCCGTAGTTTCTTTAACATGTATTAAAAAAAGACTTTCTATTGTCAGGTTTAAGTATTTCTCAATCACACTTGTATTGTTCTCTGGGCAAATCAAGGATTAATCACAACAACGAAAATCATGTCCATCATGAATTATTGAAGAAGCGCAGACTTGCAGCTCTCCCCGCCTCTGGTATAAATTCGAAAAGACTGACTGCTATCAACGACTTTTTGCTTCCTTTTCATCATATTTTCCAACATCCAGAATGGTCCAACGTGGGTAAAAAGATGAGATTGTACTGTTCTAGATAACAGAAACTAACAAAATGGTATTTTTACAGCCAACATCAAGGTATTCCCTTTGCCTTATATCTCTTTCAACAAATATGCAGAATTAGAGCCAAAATTAAAGTAAATACAAGTTTCATGATAAATGGATGTGTCAACTGAAATGAACCTAGAGAATTGGCAAAGCAAACTAGAACTGATATCCAGTACAACTTTGACGACCAATTTTTTGAGATTACAGGTCGCTCTCAGCAATCGTGTGATGATACGTTCGTAGTCTCAAGAAACGCTTATTTGTGTGATATATTCTAATTGCATTTCTCTTTGATCAGGTCCAAGATCATCGAAGAGCAGTTGATACCTCAGTTGGTAAGCAAAATAAGTAAATCCATAGAGTATATGATAAGCCTAACACCTGTTGTATATAGACTGCAATAGCAGTAGATGAATACAAGTTTCATGGTACTTTTGAGGATTTTGAGAGTATGCTGTCGTCAGCTACCCCGAGTTCTTCTGTCTCTACAACTACACCCACAGCAAATAATGTCTTTCGCATCCAAGGAAGACCTTTAAACTTAGAGAAACTGGATAATGGCATTGCCTCGGCTTCATCAGAGACGCCTGCATCAGACAACACCAACACCAACAACAACAGCACGACAGGCGCTTACTTTTATGGTGACACTGAGAGCGACGAGCCTGATACAGAGGAAGAGGATGAGTTTGTCGAGACGTTTACTTTTGCTAAAAACGTCAGTGATCCAAGAGAAGTGTTGACTGGCCCTCCTGTCAATAACACCAAACCAGTGGATTATCTGCGTGTCATTGGAAACGATACCAACACAGAATGTAGCTTATTTGAGAGACGAGTCAAGATTGTCGGCACAAGCAAGGAGGCTGTACAGGAGGCACTGGAACGTTTCAGGAATCTTCAGGCCATTTTCAAGCGTCGTAGAAGAGGCACACAATATGTAGCTTGTGTGCATTATCCCACTGAAGCCCCGGAATTCGGCCTTTATTTCTGCAATTTGGAGAGATATTCTCAGCAAAACTACGTAGACATATTGGAACGGCCAGCAGCGCCTTTGTACGTTATTCTACCAGCATTCAAGGATAGAACGGGCAAGTATGCAAAGCCTGTGGATCTGTTGGATTCTGCTCCACAGAGTCCTAGTCAGCAATGGGTTCAAAGACAGCAGCATCAGCAGCAAGTGCACCAAGAATCATCGTTATCACTGGATGAGAGAATGAGAATGGCTACTTTGGAGTACAAGCGAGGATACGGTAATGCGAATGCAGGCATGGCTCCCGATCTCGTATCCTTATGGGGAGAAAACAAAAATTATGTGATGCGCTTCAGTGCTCAACCTCCAGTGCGATCTCCAGCTTCAAAATCCAGAAACGGATCAGTTGCATCACCTCCTCCCAAAGCACCTGAAGATGGCTTTCCTTCATTGCCTTCCGCTGCTCCTCGTGTCGCGCCCAAAAAGACAAATACTCGTCGAGTGATGCGATTGACAAGCCAAAAAGCATCTGCTGCAGCTTCTTCTGGTATTCCTCGTTCTGTTTCCAACATGGAAAAGTAAGTCTTGTCGTGATGTATTGCCTGTAGTTTGCCTTCTAAAATGCGTGTGTTTCTATGTAGCCTTCGTGTGTATAATTTCCACAACATCAAAACAGCCTTGGAGGAAGGGTAAGAATGAACACAGTAAACCAGCATGATTGCATACTTATCTTGCGCATGTAGATTAAATGGAGTTCGTGGATTTAAAGGAAATGTCAAGTTGAGTGCCAAGATTGGCAAGGTGCTCTGGAGCCAAATCACACCAGATGTTCAAAAGCAAATCTGGACCTACACTGACCTGAATGACCGACTGATGAGCAATGCTGGCGTCAAGCCTGTCTTTAACAGTGTGTAGGTATATTTTATGGTGGCAGTTTTCAATCATACTAATGTCCCTTCTTGATAGAACGACAATGTCAGATGAAATCATCACCAGGATGTCTGAAGTGCTTCCTTCTGCTCACAGCCGAAGAGTATCGTTTGAAATATACGCCAATGCACGCAACCAGCCTTCTATGCCATATCGACCTGTAGTTATGTACATGAAGAACCAAGGTGTCGTAGAATTGACCAAGGTGATTACTGCCACAAACAAGGTGACTGAGATCGATTGGGTCTCTTTGGACAGGTAATAATTCTGTCGATGCAGGCAGACAACGGTAGACTAACTTGTATACTACAACCAGAAAATTTGATTTCCAATTCCTGCTCCAGACAGAAGAAGAAACTCGAATGGACGTCAAGCCTTTCAACACCTTTATCAATCGAGTGGCCGTGAATCCAGAGACTCGCCACATCACCTTCAACAACGTGCCTGACTTTTTAGAAGTCGACTATATCCTCTCCAAGCAAACTACAATCTATAGGATTGTGTTCCCCATCGTAGCTGAGATCACACGTGTAGAGCGACTGCCACTTGTTCATCAAATCGATTCTTATGCGTACGAAAAGATATTGGGCGATACTGGCAAAGGTCAGGTGTGGTATGAATTTGAGGTAAGGACTCGATAGCAGATGGCAACCAGCCTACAGACAACTCACCCATTACTTAAGGTGTTTTACTCGACCTACGATGCCATCTTCAAAAAGAATCAAACGTTGCAAGCCGGTAAACTTGCTTCTTGGACAAGCGAGAGCATTATTGAAGGCACCGAGAATGCCAACTCTCTTATTGAGTACATTCGCACCTTGTTGACCATGGTCGAAAAATTCGAAGGCGCTCTATGTTGATTACCATCTACTATGCCAAGCTGAAACATATAGCACAACTGAAATCTGCTCTAAGCCCATTCACAAAAAACAATAAATCCTTCATTGCATTCCACATTAAAGATGTAGTAGTAGTAGTAGTAGTAGTAGTAGTATATTCTGTGAAACAAGCATATTAGACGGCACCGTTCTTCTTGCTTCTTTATCTTTATATTGATCAAAGAATGCTTTACAACGATATGCATTTGTTCTTTGAAAGGATATTAACAGGATGTCTTTTTATCTCACTTCTCCTAAAACCCAACGCACAAGATGAAACAAGAATAATGCGTTGCAATTAACCATAGCACTCGACCATGTTACCTAGTTACAATACCCATTAGAGGGATGAGGTTTCTGGAAACACCTCTGGCGCTGTCTACATTTTGCAATTAGGGTTTTTTATTTGAATCATTATAATAATCTAAACAGCAGTATCTCAAACAACTTGAAATTAGCTGGACAAGCACAAAAACGCCTCCCAGGGCAACAAACACAATAAATAAAACAGAGTAGGTTTGGGCTGACTCCATGCCAACTGAGCCACAGTACATGTCGCATTGCTGTTTATCATGGATGGTGCAATCTACGCTTTCTCGATAGAATGGCAGGCTGGAATAGCACGTAGTGATGCATCGGACGGGGCAATTATTGTCAATGGAGGCGCTAATGTGTGATCTTGACTCGACTTTGAATACAGCTGCCAACACTAAAAAGGTAATTCCTATAATTAAAGAGATGTGTGCCACTAATTTACATTGTCTACGACTACGAGTTGAGCTTGCTGGTGGAGTCATGGATGGAGAAAGATTTCTTTCTACATCCTGGCATTTGAAGTGTTGGTACTGATTGGAAATGCTGTACTCATCCAAACGTTTATGTGTAGTGTCTGGCAACATGAGAGACTTGGAATCAATGGTGTCTGTATAAGATGGCAGGAGATCCTTCTCATCCAATTTTGTGTATGCTGTGTCTGTGTTGCTACAAGGCATATTTGATTCCAATTGACAAAAAAGTGGGAAAAAGAGAGGGAAAAAGGGTCTTTTTTCATCCTAGTTGATTGCTCAAATATAAATGTCGATCTTTTATGAGACCAAGACTAAATGAATCATGGTTGTTTGCATTGCCTATTGAAAAACCGCCTCATTTAGTTTATTTGTTTAATTTACACTTTTACAAAATAGCATGTTGGGAATATAATAAGGAACGGATCTTGTAGTAATCCATTGAAATGGCACCTTCAACAAGCAACTGACCAGTTCCAGTCTACCACAGCAGAATTAATATGGCATCCCAAAGCACAATTCAAAGCACACAAACCAACCTTTCTAACAGCGACCTGGTCATTGCACACTAATATACCTTCGCCCTTGAATTCAGCTTGGATACCCTCGGCCTGCAAGATCTTTTTGAATTCAGTTAACCGAACATCGCCTACAAACACAGAGGGCTCCCATGGAGTGGGTCCATCAGACACTGCCACATCGAGTGAAGGGGTAGTGGAGTCATCCGGGAAATGGATGCGACCAACCACGCGAGCCAGTTCATACTCATCCAGCTAAAATTTATATCACGTTAGTGTATTGACCAAGATACAAATGCAACTCTCTTTTTTTTTTTTTTTTTTTTTTTTTTACCTTGGAGAATCGTAATGAGCTGACCATGCTATCTGTTAATTTGACTCTATAAATGTTTGTTGCAGCTGACACGTTCAACACCTCGCTCACTGAAGGCGTAAATATCTCTTTGGTAAAGTGATCCATGCCTTGGCATGCTGTGGCAAGATCCTCGGTAGAAGATTGAGAACCATGGACAATGATCTGAGGTACAAGTGTCAGTCATGTTAAAAGGCTTCATTCAAGCAAGGAATATTTACCAATTTTCTGGGCGCAATCTGTGGCAAAATGGTCTTCATGGATCTGCCATCTGACAAACCTTCCAGATCAACATATCGCAACAGACATTGTATGGTCAATTTCTCGTCATTGGATGTGTATTTTGTCGGTGTTTCGTCTCTTCCAGGCAAAAGAGGTTCGTCAATATCCACCATCATTTCCTATGTCCACCCATCAGTAAGGAGAGCGCATGTATTCACCTAGAAATAACTTACGTCCTCCTTGCCGAAATTAGCTCCCTCGCCCAAACTCTTCTTTTCTTGCTCAATTCGCTCGAAATCAGAAGCCTTCATATAATGTTCAATTTGAATTGCTTCACCATAGTCGTCAATTTTCTTTCTTTTCTCAAGGTATGGGAACATGCGGTAACTCTGTGCCTGCTTGAAGAAACCGCCAGATTTACCAGCATCCCTCACGTAGAGATCAAACTGCTTTGTTAGTAAATCCTCCATGTTCTCATCTCCATCGTCAATGTCTGAAGAGTCAGATTCATCGTCTTCCATGATCGTTTTACTGCGAGCAATCAAAGCCGCCTGTGCTGCATCTCGTTCTGCTTTTGCTTTCTGTGCGCTTTCAAACTCTTGTAATTCAGCTCCTTCTAATGGAACACGCTTATACACAGTCAAATCCAAGCTGGTTTCATAGGCAATGGCTGGTTTGACGGGCAATTTTGTGCGATTATGAGCAACCACGACATCCATCTCTATTGTATTTGTCTGCGAATCCCAATCATCGTACAGTCGGCGTGCTAGTGATCCAGGCCCAGATCTGTCTGTCAAGATCAACGTGTTGTTTTTGTTGTGTTGCGTTGTTTCCGTTGTCATCCAACGCACAAAGAGTTCTCTAGCGAAACCTGTTTCTAAACTGTAGTTACTAGCAATGACTACTTTGGGTCCAGCATAGTTGTCGAGATCCTCTATTTTGTGGCACAAACGCAGATATTTGAATTCGTAGGGATTTTCTCGAGATTGCGAAAAGTTCCTGGTCAAATCATCTCCCATCCATTCAAGCATGATCTTTGCAAAATGCGCTGTATGATAACTGGTGTTTGATAGCATGATGAGAGGGTAATTGAGTTGATGCTGTGTCCAATACTGGTCCAAAAGATAGGATATCTCCAATACACGAGCCGACGAATCGGTGGGCAGCAGCACGGATCCTCCTTCTTTCAATGATTTCACCATGGTGTCTGAGCAGATTATGCCATGTCAACATTGCAGCTTAGCAGTATACTATCGAAACTTACCAAACATGGCAGCATATCTGTCTTTACGGGCAGGATGGACTACCTTTGAATTGTACGAATCTGTGATAAGCAGAGATGGTCTCGTCAACGTATCCAATACAACGCCTCCAGAATGCAGCACTGTTCCGTCCAAATGGCTACATCATCTTAGTTGAATCATCTTCATTCAGAAATACGTTATATCCCTTACTGTTCCTTTCTATGATTGAAGTCCACAGCATAAACAATTTCCTCCGTATCTTGCTTGATCTTCCAAATTGTACCACCAATAGTATGTGCTGCTGCGTATGCTGTGATGGTAATCCCCTGACATTTGCCTGTAATGCAGTGTCAACCGCTATTCATCTGTTTGTTTTAAAACACACTTATACCTGTCAATGAGATGGGCTGAGAGTATCTAACGGGTGTGATCTTGTCAAATGCATTGTCCACATCTTCCAGCGTGAATGTCTTGAACTCGACTTCGTTTGTCTTTGATTGATACATGTCGTACATGCACATTTTGCCCATATTGACAACGGGTATAGTAGCATAGACTTGACACGCCATGCCCAGATGGCTTCGAGCATATGGATACGCACCCAGATGTGGAAGATCACAGTGGGAGAGCACCACGGCATCAATCTGCTTGGCTACTCTTTAGGAAAAGAAGCGTTAGTGCTGCTGCTATCATGCGCGTGGATACTGTATAAGCCTACTTTTTCAAATTTGCAAGATCTTCTTCTCTAAATGAATCAGACCATCCACAATCCAGCAGGATCTTCACCTCATCAATCTCCAACAGATAGCAAAGCGGGTCCTCGTTCTTTGCACCTGAAATTGGCGTGAATTTGATGTAACTGGTCATATGTCACAATGAGTAAGTTAGGTATTCAGGAAGAAAAGGCGATTGTTCTTCAAGACAAATGCCACTACTTTTTCATTTGTGACTCTGCTACACATGCGATCAACCCAATGCTACATCAAGTACTTGCCATGGCGAGATGCGCTGATAATCTCATTGACAGAGCAAAGAGTGCATGCGAGTGGAGATTCATCAATCACAGTACAATGTGCTGAATCAATCATACCATCCAGTGATGACTTTCATGCTTGTATTGGTACAAACCAGTGCCACACAAGATTTAACAAACAAATGATGTTGCCCGGGAGACGGAGCCGCACTGGTATATAAAAGCAGAGCCAGCAGCCATGATAGCCATCTTTTTTCTCTTGTTCTACATACTATATTTCGCACACCCAACATATACTTGTATACACAAATACACAGCATTTCCCCCCCCCCACTAATAATAGACACAATAGACTCTTTTTTATCCCACTAAAGAAAGAAAGAAAGAAAGAAAATTATGCCTTTCAATTTGCTTGATTTAAAATGCAAACAAGTGTTCCTTCAGAGTTAAATAAGTCTTCCAACAACAATAGCGCCAGTGCTGCTACTACGGCAACCGCAACAGCAGCGCCTCGTCGTAGAAGAAGACGTCCTAGAAATAGAAGAAAGCAAAAATCAGCTGCTACTACTGCTCCCTCAGCAAACACAACAGCACAACACCATCAAGCACCAGCAGAAGATCTCGAAGAGACTTTCCAGGAAAAGACGCTCAATTTGGCCGACCTGTCGAGGTAAGGATTTGGCATGTTCTGTACTGCGTCTGTGCGTGTGATACTGACAGTATGGCAGTGAGGCGCATGCTTTGGAGAAACAGCTTGCTGAATTGCAGACACAGTTAAAGATCAATTATGCCAACATGCCCGGTAAAGAGCAGGGTCGTATTGCCAGCGCTATTGCAGCAGAACAAATCGCGGCAACAGAGGAGGAAATTGTGTACGTACGACACAGCCTGAAAAAGACCTACCGTCAGATATTCTCCACCGACCTCATGTATGCGACAACACACCATATTGAAGACAAATTATGGCGCTACATATTTTACGCAGGCATCGAAGACATGCGTGGCAAGTTGCGCAAGGTGAAGCCCGAAGACGTAGACAAGAACATTGCTCTTCAAAAGGCTTTGTTTCATCGCATTGATGCCGCATTCAAATTTTATCGCGAACTCAACAACACAGTGAAGGCTTCCTATCACATTGATACCAAGGTACTGGGCATTGATTTGGTCCATCAGAAAGCAGCCAGCGACGATGAGAGGATGGGAATACTGCTGCAATCCAACTACATCTGTATGGGTGATTTGGCGCGTTACCATGCTCAGCAGGCCATGGCATCCAAGAGCGTAAAAAAAACCATGGATTATTGGGCACTGTCAAAGTCGTGTTATTTGAAGGCTATTGATGTGTATCGGAAGAATGGCAAGCCCTATTCTCAACTGGCTCTTGTGTCCATGTCGAATGGAAATGCAATGGATGTTGTCTGGTACTATTGCATGAGGTAAGCACGCAAAACCGTATGGTATAGCTATGCGTATTAATTGACTCTACTCAGCTTGGCTGTGAAGCACCCCTCTAGTGTCGGCAGAGACAATCTAAAGTCATTCTACTCAAAGATTCGGTTCAGCACCAAGCCAAAAGACGACAGTTTGGCAAGCATGATATCGCATTTTGTAGAGTCCTTTTTGCACATGCACCGCACGGTCATGTTCAATCAGAAAGACAGCGACGAATTCGCCTCGACGCTCACTGTCGCTGCTCAACTGGGCACCGCATTGTCTACGCTCATACTCACCGCCATTGAAGAACAGGAGGATCAAGAAGCTGTTGCGTTGTCAAAGTCATTGCTGTCCATGCTGCACATCATGCGTACCACGTTAACGCGCAGTGTCACCATTTTGATGATCTCTGTGTGGATAGCAGGCGAGAGGCTGCGAGACAAGGCCAACTACAATGTTCGCTCCATTATTCTATCGTCTCAGATATACATGTATATCTTTGCTTTCCAGTTACTTACAGGTGTTTATCGATCCTCACGCCAGGCATTGGAGCAAGCTAAAGAAGCCCTCGTCCCTGACAAGTTCTGCCAGCTGGAAACCATGGTGGAAGAAGCCTTACTTCCTGGACTGAGTATCTGGTCCACTTTTCTCTATACCAACACCACGCCTATCGCCCAATACTGCATGACCGCTGCCAACGATGTGAGAAACAGAGAGCCCGAGAAAAAGACGCTTGTCAAATCCATTCAATCCTTCTTGTCGCTGCTCATTAGCCATCCTGCCTTTCCTGATCCCGTACTGAATGTGCTCCCACCTACTTATCCCATGTCTGAAGACCTCGTGCTGCTTGGTATTGTGCCTCTGTTCTCTTTCCACAGCCATGTTGACTTTTTTAAAGAAACCGCCTACCAAGTGGACGATACAAAAAGCCCAGAAGCACGCAAGCAAGTGCGCTGGGGCCGTGTGCGCGACATGATCAAAAAGATGGCTGATTCCAACTCATTTGACTTTATTCAATATAATCAGAACGAGCAAAAGTACAGCGTCATTGATGAAAATGCCAAGCGTCAGCAGCAGGGTCGATTCATGAAAGCATTGGCAACACAACGTCTAATGGAGCAGGTGTCGTCTCTGGAGAAGAATGTGAACCGCATGGCATTGAGCAAGCGTACAAAGAGTAACAGCAGCAACAATGGTGAAGACGCTGCTGATCCACTTGTCAAGCGAGACGTTTACACATGTGTCATTGATGCCACTGCATTCCTGGATGGTTTGAGCAAGGTCAAGAGATGGGCCAGTCAAACGCTCAATGTGAATCGTCGTTCTCAGGGCAGTATTCTGGAGGTTGTTGTGCCTTTGGAGGTCATTGATGTCCTGGATGAATACAAAAAGGGTACTTCGCATCTCAACATGCAGGCACGCGAGTCGATTCGTTTCCTGGATCAAAAATTGCTTGAGAGCAATAACAAGACGGAGGCACCTACATCGTCTTTCCTCAGAACGCAAAAGGTTACCGAGAAACTGGCTGATTGGGGCGAAGCCAAGGCTTTCTGGATTGGCGAAGAGAGCAGATCCAATGTCGTAGATCATCTTATTTCTGATGGAGAGGAGGAAGAAGACCAAGCCATGGACTCGGATGTGGAAATCGAATCTGACGTAGAATCCACCAGCAGTTCCAATGAAGATTTGTTCAAGCCAAGAAGACGAGCTACTGATGATGATGACAATACCGAGTCTGAATCAGAAATGGAGACAGATTCAGCAGAGGACAGTTCAGCATCTGAAGACGAAGGCGAAGCAGAGGAAGAATACGAGGAGGATGAAGATGAAAATGTGCCTTACACTTTGGAAGATGTACCCAAATCCTACCGACCCATTCTCAGCTGTCTCCTGTATTATCACAGCAAACAACAAGCAAGACAAGACGGTCAGCCAGAACGCCTTGTCCTCGTTACCAACGACGAAGATCTAGCTTGGTGGGCTGAACTCTTTGGTGATCCTACAGCTCGCAAACGACTGCTGATTAAAACTGTCAATGAGTGGGATCAAATGATCAGCAAACTGGATTTCGAAAAGGTCTATGAATACTCGTGGAACCAAAATCGCTAATTGTATAATAAAGACTACTGTGTATCTTCAACTTGTTCATGTGTTTATTGTTAGAATTCATTACACTTCAATTATTTATTTCTTGTATCAATAAAAAAAAGCTATAATAGTTGGAGTCAATGAATTTATTGCTTCTTGGCAGCCTTAACAGCAGCACCAACAGCGAAACGACGCTAGAAAAAAGCAATGTTAGTATCTCTTTCTCATACTGATCACAATCCCGGATCCCTGATGAAATCAAATACTTACTTGGTTCTTGAGCTTGGCCAACTTGAAACGATCAAAGTCAGTCAAGTTAGCACGAACCTTGCGTTGTTCGAGCTTCTTGGCCCAGGCAGTCTTAGCCCACTTCTCGACGGTCTCGTCCTTCTCCAAAGCCTTCTTGAGAGCGGATTGACCGATAGCACGGGGAAGGTTCTTGAGGACAAGAGGAGTCAAAACCATACGACGGAAGGGGAAAGCTTGACGAGTGACACCGGTGGTAGGACCATCGATGAGAGCCTAATGCATTGCGGTTGTATAAGGATAAGGTGTCGCATATACTAGTGTGATGTGATCAACTTACGCGGTTATGATCAACAATATCGATAATGACGGCCAACTTGCCGGCATCGGCACCGTAGTTGATGAGGACAACACGGCCAACTTCAACTTGACGCTTGAAAGTACCTTGCTAGAATAGGTGTTAGTTTGCTGTATGTCGTAACGAGTAGCCTCTCCCTCTCTCCCTCTCCCTCTCTCCCAAATTTCTCCAATGTTGGATTTTTTTCATATCAATGCATAATATCCCATCCATCGATTATATTTCTTGAAATCTACTCATCCATCATCGTGTCTATCTGTATCCACCCTCTCCCTCGTACAAGCTCCCTCCATTCACCATGTCATGTTATACGTACAACCATTGTTATGGATTATATAGTCAGAGAAAGAACGTTGAATCTATCAAATCAAACTACACATTTACAGGCCAAAAAATTACCAGAAGCATCGTTCCCGGACATCCACCTTCGCTCGTTTAAAAAATTGCACATCAAAAATTTTCAAATCCGGACCGAAGGCGTGCTGCTTCATCTATAGCGATGAGATTAAATGCCCTGAATCAAGTGAGAGATTTGCCATCAACCGTTGATCTTTATATATACTGTAAACCACTCAAAAAAAAAACAAGCAAAGGCGTAAAACCATAGTGTTCAAGCAGCAAATTCGGGTTTTCATTTCACAAGCTTACTAACAACATATCGCATCAAAATTTGCATGAATCAGCTTTACCGAGATCAATATGCCTCCTGTTCGAATTAGAAGTTGCACAGGCTGCAGAACTGCTCTTCCAGAAGACTTCACCTACTAAAGATGTGGTTCATGCCGTGTAAATAAAAAGCTATAAAGCAAAACATAACCAAATTTGACAGCTTTCAAGCCTTCATATCTTGACATGTAGACCTTCCTGAGCCACCGGAATAACGCCAAACAATTGCACTTGAGTAGTAGTAACTTTCTGACACCTTTTCTCAACTTTTTGAAAACCTAAAAAACATGGTCAAAAATCGACCAAAAACCATGAGGGGCGCCTCATGGTTTTGATCGAGATTTAAACGATCGCATTTTTCACCTCGAAAAATGAAGACTTTTACTATGGCATATCAAATCAAAATGTTTCTCTCGACTCAAAGCAACATCTGAAACCACTTTTATGTGGCTTTCATATGCAAAATATGGTTCTTTTCGCTATAAACCTCATTTCAAATTTTATTAAGTTGCTCAATAGTTTCAGTCAAAACACTTATTACAGTTAGCATCTTTGGAAGCGCCTTGAAAAGTACTTCAAGAGTGTATTAGGAAGCGCTGGGTGATCATCACCATTTATATAGTCGAATATCACAGAATAGATTAAAGAAGTCGAAAAAAGACAATATCTGTCCAATCTTGAACAAACAAAGAATTAGCTGCGTTTGAACCCATTTTGGCGGTGCCATTGCTGCTGGTTGACCTAAATGCCTTTCTGTTGATGGCAATGATGATTGCGATGCCGATTACATAGGGATCATGGAATTGAAAGGACAATTGCTTGCCGCAAATACTTTTTTTTTTGAGGAGCTTTGCCTCATGAAGGTGTCTTTTTTTGCAATGACAATATCTCGAAAAAGTAGCTGTAGATCTTACACAAGTCCTGTATTTATGGCCAGCTGTATGTCACCATCTTATTAAGAGTATCAGCAGTAGTGAATGATATGATAATTCTATTATCAGAAAATGGCGATTGTGATGTATACATGCTGCATGAAACCTGAAATTTCTTTCGCATTGTCCCAATACTAGGCTTTGTTTGATATCAGTGTTAGCAAAAAGGGTGCTGAGGGAGACGCCTCCTCTCCTCTTCCTGGCGCTAGTATAACCTTTCTTTTACTAACTAATAATAAATTGTTTAAAATCTACTTGATTTACCAAAATTTTATTATATCTGATTTAAAATGTCTTTGGCGAGAGCCCAGAGGGTGGTGCCGCCATCGAGCGTATCGAGATAGATCGGCTAGTAGACATATATGTCAAAATGCATGCAACACCCACTCATAACCAGCAATCTCTTTGGTGATATAAAATGCTCCAAAACTGGATCATTTCATTTCAAAACAAAATGCCTGAATGTGACACACTTCTAATAACTACGTGAATGCGACCACCATTGGCAAATGTACACTAATTGAAAATTAACCATTTCAGGGAAAGAACTCATTTCAAAACTAGATACTTGGCGACTTTAAAAGCTGCTTAAAACCTTTATCGAAGCTGCTCGGATGCTGCTTGGTCATGTAGATGCTTTTTTTTTGCATGATAGTAGAATGATGATAGCAGGGATTTGTTCTTGAAGCAACCCCTTCATCGTGTAAATCTTGATGATAGTATCCTCGGCAGTAGCAGCATTGCATGCTCTACTGTCAAGTAAAACACAGAGAGACATACACAACAAGACACATTTGTAATATATGTTGTGTTTCATATATGAATACCAAGAAGCGAAATCGAATTTATATTGGTGTTGGCATTTACACCAATAATTCGACTACATAAATTATCATTGAACCCAAATAGTGCATTACATTTGAAATGAATGTAAGACCGTTTTCCCCAAATTTGACAACAGATAATTCATCAAGAGGATACCCTCCCCCCCTGGTTACACCCAATGTAGACAATCATTAAAGTGCTTCTAGATGCTTTTAAAGCATTATAATGAGCACCATTCATGGTGGAATGAGCCTTCATTTGAACACAGAAATACAGTCTAGTATATCAAACTGGCAGCACCTCTGTTTCTTGACCAGACAAATTATAGCATGATCTGCGCATCCGTAATACGGGTTACATGATGTATGAATCGACTATATTCAAGCAACTCCCTTGCATGTCGTTTGCTTTAGTAAAGCATGCTTATCCTAGTAAATGCATCATGTCGGTTGAAAATCATCCCCAAGCAACATGTACAATCACATCAAGCTTGAGTTTTGTATTTGTGTATATTGTACATAAACAGGTCTGTAAGCTGACATCCTAAACGACAGATAAAAGGGGGAAGAGCCGGATTCGAGGCCATTGTCTCGAACATTGCTTCAGAGCACATTTGGGAATCGAGCTATTAGACTCTATTGGTTTAAGGCCGTAGCCATTTGAAAGATCGCCCAGGACAGACAAAAGACAATGACTTGGCGACGCACTCATGACCAATAGTGTGTCTACGCTTTGAAACTCATGTCTGTAACTACAATCAAGAAAAAAAAAAAAAAAACATGGTTGTAGCCAGCATCTCTTGCCCCTGCTTCCCCTTGAAATGCAAGAGCCTGTAAATGATAGTAATTTAAAGTCTCCCTAATTACATTGAGCGTAATACAACAATGATTTTAGTTAATTAACCTTTTTCAAAATGATGGTCATAATGAACTTTTACTATATTCTTTGAATTAGACCCGGTCTCGCTGTGTACAAAAGTGAGCTTTTTGGTAACAAAATTTCTGTTTCCGTGAAAGGCCGAATAGCACCGTATTTATAAGTTGTAATACTAGATTTGGCAGAATATTATTTTTATACAACTGTGCACAAGATTTGCGGCTGGTGACGCTATGGATGTAACGTTCAACAAAGCAAAGCGAATATACAAAATCCATGACTGAAACATCTCATGTATTGCTGCCATCTAAAGAGATGGATAAAAAGGCAATGTAATAACAAGCAGTTTAATGAACGTTAATCAAACAAGGAAAAAACAAACAATCAAACAGCTAGGCTCTAGTACATCACTACACCAAGACATCAGCATTGGCATCATTTGCTGGTGCCTTATCTTGCTGCTGAATCCGCCGCTCCCTCCCCCAAGTATATCATTTCCTTCTCCTTGTGCTGCCCCTCCCCCCCCCCCCACTTTATGGCCCCCTTTTTAACCAGCTCAAACAGCTCTTGGTTAAGCTCATTCATTATCTTGATTTAGCTCTCCGAATTTCGAAAATGTCTATATATACATCACTCATTCTTTCATCCTTCTTTCCTTTTTCTCCCTCTTTTAACTTATTGATCACTTTTTCTACACATTACTTATAACAGAGATTATGAAATATCTCTTACTGCTTATCTTGGCTACATTCATCTGCTCTACTGTTGCTATGCCCATCACAGATAGCAACATGTCATCCGCACTGAATCAAAAGCAACAACAAGAACAGGACATGGAAGAAGAAGACTCTGTGATACTGGAGCAAGAGCTTCAACAGGAAGAAGAAGAACAAAACGACATGTTAATGCAGGAAACATTCCCTGTGCAAGTGGATAGATTAGCACAGATCATTGCTACCCATCTTCAGTTCGACCATCTGGACGCTGTCATCAGTAGCACAGATAAGGAAATCGCTACAGAGTTCCAACATCATATCCAAATTAACGTCCAGTCCAATAATGAAGAAGCTAATTACGATGAGTCCGAACTCATGTCGCACAGCACTAATCATCAATATGCCATACAACAACAGTTGCCTACATTAGATATGATGGACTTGGAAATCCTTAAATCCCAGATATTTGCTGCTATCCAGGCTCATACAGAAGGCAACTTACCGCTGACATGGGACAAATTGGCTGATAAACTGAGTCGTCAAGCGATTGAATCATATCTGCGTAGCTCACTCTTGCAAGCATGTGGTCACCCTGATCAAGATACCATTTCATCATCATGTCTGCAAGAACATGCTGTCCAACTAGCCACTGATCTCGACACATACATCACGAACGGACTAGCTCATGTATTCGAAGCGCTTGATCAAGAAGCACTCCCTGATTTGCTCCAGCATACAGCCAAAGATTTGAAGGGCATCCTCAACTATTTCAACTCTGCTTTTCTCCAGGACGGACATCGCAAGTTTGTGCTCCAAGTAGTACCCTGGAACAGTGATCCTACCGACGTTCATAGCTTCAAATCAAGATTACTGGAGATGGCAGTTCACCCTTTAATCAATGATGGCACTGAGGAATCTCATTCAACTGCATTCTTTATAGAATATGCTGCCATGGCACGAGTATAAATATGTTTATTATTTCAACTGTATATTACCTTTTTTTAAAACATCATACCCTCATTATCATATACACACATTCACTCATCATGGATAAAAGGCCCTTTTGTAAATAAAACCAAAAAATTTATTACTATATTTAAAATGACCCAGGCTACATGTTTAAAGAGAGACGCACATCTGAGCATATTACACAACATGAAATAATCATTCAAAGATCTTTTTTGCTAATTACATGTGCAACAGTGTGGATTTCAAGAAATGTTAGGGAGGAGATGTTCTGTGCTAAAGGAGAAAAGTTTATTTGTTATGACATGAGTGATTTTCGTTGCAGTCCACCTCTATACACAATCATATTCGTTGATTTTAACTATAAATGGACCAGCCAAATGGATAGCGTAGATCTATTCTTGGCAAATTACGTTATATGAAGTCTGCTTCTTATGATTCCATAGCCTAATTGTGTTGGTTTGTTGGAGGCAAGTTACACTGGTAAACTAGAGGATTTAATTTAAGGGGAGTTACCCTATAGCTCGCGCTTTCTGTATAGTCTTGATAAGAGATCGTCGCCACTATTCATCTCACTCTTGTTGATGACGGTATTTATGCGAATGCCGTATTGCCATAGATCTACAAAAATAGCTTTTTTTTTTTTTTTTTTTTTTCTTTCACAAACAATCTGCCGGATCAGGTACCAACTCGCAGCACATTTACATAAAACGTGCTATTTTGACCTTGTTTGAATGGCCTTTGACATCGGCATGAACTTTAGTTACTAACATCATCCTTGGCCTGTGACATGGGCTAAGCTTAGAAGCTATTTTTATCACTGACGATGTTCATTTCATCGTCAAACATCAACAAAAACATCTACTACATGGTTGGCAAGTAGGCACCACATCAGTCATTTTGGCTTGACGTTGCATCATCTGTGCATGGCATGAAATCAAACTCGTACACAGAAACAATGATAACATCAGTGTGTTATTTTGTATTAACATACTATCATCATACTAAAAACGGTGCCCGTTGTTTCTTGGCATTGGTATTTAGTTTTACATTGATTTAACGACTACGACGACGATCACTAATCCCACCCAACATTCATATACAAAAAAGCTCGCTAATTCGACGGCGGACGATCGGCTCTTGTCATTCCGTATACGCGTGCGTACCTTGGTTTGATGCGTTCATTACCAATGTTTCATTCATTTTTTTTTTTTTTTTACATCATAAAGCTTCATCATGTCGCGTAAGCACGCAAGGTGTTGAATTAAAAATAGACAAAGTGAATCAAATAACAAGAGATGTATATGCATCTAATAGACTTGTATAAAGGTACGAAACAAACCCTAGGCATCTGAAATATTTATAGCACATGGTCAAATGATACAGACAAGAAGGCTGATAGGCATCATAGTGTACCAGATGGAGATAAAGATAGAGATTCATCATTTACTCATATATCATGGTGTGACATTATGAACCATGACATGAGCACATGGTCTCAGGTTCACGCTGACTAGACATCAGGAAAAGTAATCAGATAATTATGTGATAGCATGGGCCACATGATGGGAGCAAAGCCAATTAGAGAAGCTTTTGCTACAGTCGTTTTTTCATTTGAATTGGATAAAGGAAATGTGTTTTCAGGGGAGCAAGCGGCGAACCACCGACTCCCCCTAAACAAAAATTATGGCCTCGAGACATCCGAAGATGTTCGCAGCAAGGCTAATCGTCGCTGTGCAATGACAATCGGCCTCACTGTACACCAGGGATTCTTGATACCCGATGCACGACCCAGGTAAGTATGAGTTGCAATCGATTGCGAAATGGCCTCCTATTTATACTTTTTTTGCATTTCAAAATGTGACCATGAACCCTTCGCAAAAATTTCCCTGTTAAATATGACAGTCATTGATAGAATGTTACCAGCCGATCCAGATGCATACAAGCCACTATAGTAGTTGCATTTGGGTTGAATTAAGGGACAAATGTGGCCGTAACAATGCCATGATGGCTAAGGACATTGTCTATCCAACATCATCGCGTTGTCAAACTTTGAAGAGATACATTGCGAGTGAAACATGCCGAATCTTGGAATCAATGCTTACTGGAGTGTGCCTTGTACTTTGGGATGTTTAATGTTTGAAGATTTGATTTGGAATAACCTCAATCAAATCAACATTTACATGCACAGTGAAAATGACAACATTGCTTTGACATAGTATCCAAACACTCAGATGGTCCAAGCTGCTACAACTGTCTGGATCTCAGGGTTAAACATCGTACATGTTGCTTATGGAGCCACATTTCGCACTACATGGTATGCTACGACACAATTCCCAGTATAAAACGCGAACAACCATATTCACCTGTCAAACTGACATGCACAATCACTTCGCATGGCCAAATCTTAGATTGCGAATCAAAAAACAAGACATTTTATTCTACATTTTAATGATTGTGTCAAGCTAAACAAAAAAAGGGCTGCTTTTTTTATTGATTTCCTCGAGAAATAATTTAGTTCATGGATTGAACCAAGTTGTTGATGAAAGCTTCACGGTTACCGGTATCACCACCTTCAACATAGTTGAGGAACTTACGCTCTCTCCACATGTTGTTGGGGTTGGAGAGCTTGAAGGGCCAGAGGAAGTTGGAGGCTTCCTTGAAGTGGGGACCGACGGTAGCAATCTCGTGGATGAGATCCTCAACACAGATGATGTCGTACTTACCAAGAGACTTCTCAATGACAGAGTTGTCAGAGATGGGGATACGTTGCTTGTTAACCTTGGCATATCCACGCTTGTAGATCAACTCACGGATGGTCTTCAAGTTGGGGTAACCGTAGGTGACATAAGGTTGAATCAATTGGAGCATCTCGGAGGTAGCCTTGTTGAGACGAACGAAGACACCGTTGTTGATTTGCAAAAGACGCAAAAGTTGGAGAACCTTACGGGGCTTGGGGGCAATGTTGTTGATACCACGGATACGAACAACGAAGACGAGCTTCTCTTGAGCGGGAACGTAGTAGTTACCTTGAGCCTTAGCTTGACGACGGAGACGGATCTCGTTCTTGGCGGCAGCCTTGTATTCGGCATCGTACTTGGCAGCACGCTTGAAGAGTTCACGTCTCTTGGCGAGCTTAGCCTGTAAGTAAACAATTGTGTTAATCACCAGTGTTCAGTTCAATTGTACATCTCTGTTCAAGCAAAATCCAACAGCACACATATAAGATACGAAGAAACAATCAGCCCCGAAAGATGGTTAACTAAGAGACATCATCGAGTGCAATCTAGTCCTTAAGGGTTGTATCCCAATTGTCATCATACTTGTTCTTTTTCTCTTTTACATTTGCGTGCCATTCAAATTTTGCTATAACCAAAGAATCAAATTAAATAGCATGATACTTGCCTTACGGAGCTCAGCCTTCTTGGCAGCAGCAGCCTCGGCAGCCTTAGCGCAAGACTTGTTCTTCTTCAAGAGGGTCTCGGGGACGAGGACGTCGTTAGCAGTGGGGACGTTGCTATAAATCAAGAGCTTCATCAGTGATCCAATTCTTGAACATTGACATTGATACAAGCCACCAAAATGAACTTGTTGAAATCAACACAAATCCACATCAGCAGCACGCTGTATAAATCCCACAACACGATGCATTCATGTGCATGTAATGATTGCTGACTCGATTTAACAGCACATGTCGTTTGGTTTGAATACTTACTAAGCAACCATATTGGTACTGTCTGAACTGTATTAAAAAGAGAGAGAGCAAAACACTAGAAAAAATTTTTGCTCATCAAATATCCCATTCCTCTCAACGTATTACCGGTCCGGGTGGAGGCTTATCATTACGGTGCAAGAGGAGGGAAATCGATTTCCATTGGCGAAGTCATACAGTCGACTGAATTAATTTTTTTCTTTAGAAATGCCATCAAATGCGGTCGCTGGAGCACTACAATACTACTTCACACAATATTACAACCTTCTCACCAGTACATAAAAGCACTATTTTAAAAAATCTATTCATAACAGGCCGTAACATCACCAGATGAATACTTATTTTTTTTTTTTTTTTTTACTATGGCTGAGATTGAAATTTTCTTTTCTTCACTCGTCAGGATTTGGACGAAATAATTTCGAAATTACCTTTGGCACGAAATTCCTGTCCAAAGTTCATCTCAACATGTCTAAATAGATTAATTAAACTTGGAATGAAATTTGATTCTGCGTCTGATGGTTTACTTATCTCATAAACTTGCCACTGAAAGTAATGAGGAAAATGCAAAAAGTTGGAAATCGGTTTTCGTAGATTTTCGTATCCGTTTGATACTAAACTTTGGCTGCTAGGGTAATGCAGCAGTGCTAGAAATGTGTACCTTTCATTTGAGCCATATCTCACTATGTTAGCCCCATTTCTTGCCGAGAAAAACGTAAGCGTTTAAAATTCGCCAAAAATTATGAGTAGTAGCAAGGAGTTTTCAGTGATTTTTAAGATGATTTTCGATGTCGATTTTTTGGCATGATATGATAAAAGTGATCAAAACAAGTGTTTTTAGCTTAATAACCATGCCCTGAAAATGCTTCTCTCTCTAGATATCGCCGAGTAAAATGTCACCCTACTTGACCTATTTAGAGCCATAACTTCACGAAAAACGTGTCAAGTGCTATAGTCGATACTTCCTTGGAATGCTCTCCATCCTATATTTTTGTCTTTTGTATTGGTTTCGAGCTACTTAGCTAACAGCAAAAGATATGCTTGAAACAGTACCATTTTTCTGTGCTTTCTCCGTTTTGTTACCTACTGGCGTAAATTTTTGTTTCAGATCTCGATACCTACCTTTGTGCTTTGAGTTTTAGCTCATTATTAGAATTGCTTTTCATGTCTACTTGAGGAGACGTCTATTTGGTTATCAGTTTCTCCAGATAGCATACACTCTGCCTCTCATTGTTCTTTTCTTGGTACAAAAAGTCTCTCAATAAGGTACCTTATTGTGCGGCATTTTAATCAAGGAGTATTTTCTGATCCGCTATAATTGGATGGCATAAAGATAATTGTTTTTATATCATAGTAAAGAGGATAATAAATAGTGATATATGTGTATATAATTCATAAAGGATACGTGTAATGTTAGATAGTTATTGTTTGTTGTTGTGGTTGATGATTTAATAAAGTTTCAAATTTCATAACATGAATATTTGATCCTTCATTAGTTGTTACAGTGGATGTGGTTGAATAGACACCCAATGTTTCATCCGTGCTGCTTCTTGGAAAGCTGCAGCTTGGATCATCATTAAAGATAGAATGTGCTGTTTTTTTGTTGTTTTTGTATTTTAAATTGTTTTTGTTGTATAGTTTAGGGAATGCCTTTTTAAATATACGATTGAATGAAAAGGTTGATTTTTTAATTTTTTTGGTGTTGATGGTGTTCTCTGACATTGTGGATTGGGCGGAATCGATCAATGTAGCAGATGAAAAGTAAGTGTTGTTGCTGATCGAACGACGGTGATAATGGTGATGACGGTGGCGAGTTTTGTTTGATAATTCCTGCTCAATGGCACGCATTGTGTCTTGAATACTATCCAAAATAGCTTCAGATTTCAGCTCGTTATCAGTGTTGGTTGTATTTTCATTCGAATAGATGGTTGGTCTGCTTTCAATCAAAGTCAATTGTTGCTCAGCATCTCTCTGTTGGAAATAAAAGGGGAAAGGGAGGGAGGCAAATCGTTAATACTTGTTTAAGGGAGATAGCAATATAACCATACATCGTAAATGCTACTGATAATACTCTGAACATCATCATCATCATCATCCTCGTCTTCTTCGTCTTCTTCGTCTTCTTCGTAGTCTTCGTCCATGTCTGATTCAAAACAGTCTGTGTCACCTAAGGCAATGAAATAAACAGGTGAGGTCATTGCATATCATTGATAGAATAAATCATCAGATGGGAAAGAGAGGAATGGTAAAAATAACTTACGACTTGAGCGAAGGCTCACAAGATAGCCTACTTGCTCCTCCAGATGTGAAATAACATCATCCTTTTCACTCAGCCTTCTGGCATATCGAGCCTCCATTGATCTCAATTCTTTTTCATGCTGAAGATGAACAAGATTCAACTGGTCTGTCGAAATGTTGTCAATTGAACGAACAGTACGGTATCACTAAATCAACATACCCAGATAGTATGACTCAGCTCTTGAATCTGCTTCCAATGCTCTGTTTCTCCACTTGATAATGACTTCCTTCAAGGCAGCTATTTCAGACTAACAAAGCAGATATTGGATCACAATGCAAGGGCTATAGATGCACAGCAACCTACCTCCTTTGTCAATAACATATTGTTCAGTACCACGTTTTCATTCATTTCTTCTACTTTTTCCAATTTCTCAACATCTCCTTGATTTTTCCAATTGACTACCGAGGTATTTAAAGGAAGAAGGGCTACGACATCTGCCACAATGGAAGCTGCTTCCTTGTCATGTAGTTGTTCAAAATAGTCTTGCAAGCTGTTCATTTCCACACTAAACAACGATGAAAATTAACCAAGAGATTTTCTCACAGAGAACGAGAGAAGAAAGTAGATAGAATAAAAGAAAAAAGTGTGTATACGATCAGATGTATGTGAAGTAAGAGAAAGAGCAAGAGAAAAAAGAGAAACCAACTACGCCAAATTTTATCACACAATAAATAGTAAACAAAAAAAGGGGCGTTTTACTAAAGGAGACACTGGGATCTTCCCATTGCAAGAGGCAAAAAAAAAAAAAAAAAAAGATGTAAAAATGTACAAATTTGATTTATTTATTCAACAAGCTATTATTTACATATGAATTAAAGTATTGTATTTAGTGGTTCATGTTTCTGGGTTGAGCAGGAGGGATGAATTGTTGCTTGACATTGCTACCAGCATTCTTGGAGATCATCTCGTTCTTGGAGGCTGTGTGGTTCTCCATGTCTCTGGCTTGACGCTCTTGGAGCTCACGGATGCGAAGCTTCTCTTGTTCGTCGAATTCAGCTTGTTGTTCGTTAGAGAGGACTTCGCGACCATCTTCATCAGTAGCGTTCATGGCTTCTTCCTTGCGTTCCTCTTCCTTCAAGGGAATGCGGTGGGCATCAGGGTTCTTAACTCTCATACCACCAACCATTTGAGCGGGAGCAGCAATGTTTTCGAGGTTCTTTGTGTTGGGCATGTTGATTATTGACTTGTTGTGGATTGATTAGATGAAGAAAAAGCAAGTAGGAGACGTATTCGCGAGCCTATATATAGCTTTTTATTTGCCTGGTATCCATGTCGCAGCTGCATAATGACATATTTGAGTCACAGCCTATTATTGGCCGTCTAGCATGAAAACCTTATCATAATGACATAAGTGGAAGCTACATGAAGGCATGTTCTTGTTTACGGATTCGGAGTTGCCCGCCTTATTATGCCAACAGAAGGTCAAGAAGAGCAAGTACATCATAGCAGGATAGCATTTCTGTTCTTGATTGTGATTTATAATGAAAATGGACAAGATATGGAACCCAATGTCAGCGGTAATCAGAGCCTGGTTCAAGTATGAAACCCACCAGTGAAACAAATTTGGTACAGATATTCTCCCTATATAGAGGCTATTCGATGATGGCAGATTTTGAGAAGTGTCATGTACTATACTGTTATATGCTAAAATATATAGCTTTGTACTTGACGTCAGTTCATTTACATAATGGGGAAACAAGAGGCCTGGCGCATAAATGTGCTCCTACACACCCGCTACTCATCTCTCGGCGGATATCCGCGAAGGAAACTCCTTTTTTCCCATCATGTTTGAGGAACTCTTTAAATTGAAACACGTTTAAAAAATCATCAAAGGTAAATTCCATTAGGAGAAGAATATATTTCCGTGAAGGCGGTAATTCAGATGTGGCAGATACATGTTAATCTGGAGTGGACTGACATTATGCATGTGGTTCCAAACGCAGTGATTTATATGCATATCATGAATAGCTGAAAATATCCATGTTAATCGAGGAAATGTGAGAAAAATCATGATGTCAAGTTCAAAGTTACTTTTTCGCCTACTTCTATCAAACCTTCTTTTGTTTGAATTGTTTTCTTTCGCGGCCTAAGCCTTATTCTTTATGATGTTACAGTGCATAGCCTCTTTTAGATGAAAGAAGCAACGTAGCCAATTCGACATTTCTAATTGCTCTCATGTAAGGCCTACTTGTATTTTTGAAGAATGCTTTTGCTGTGATGTGTAGTAGATAAGTCCAAATGTCCACGCTTGAAAGTGCTTTGAAGAGCTGGATGATTTTGTGCGGTGGGAAGTTGTATATGATGCGAGCAATGAAGATTGTCAGTTTCCTGCTAGTAGCATGCCTTCCATAGCCAATGAAGTTTTGATACTGGTCTTTAAGATTTTTTATTCAATTTGATAAAGCCAGAGCTTGTTTGCAAGCTACATTGATACAGGAGGTAGCAACCGGCAGAAGTATTTGCATGTCATCACCTCAGAATTACCTTCTCGTCATAGGAGAAGCGATTAAGATAACAGAATGCATCGATCATGATATTAATAATGGTTATCGCGACATAATAAATCTATAGTCCCTAGACACTGTTACAACCCTAATATGAAAAATGTGTTGTCAGGCATTTGCCAGGCATGGTCCATGTCAGAACATAGTCTCTAGACACTTTCAAAGTCTCAAAAAGGAAAGAAGTTGATCTAACAAGTATTTCTGTGGACTGACTTTATGATTTGCAAGGCTCCAAAAGAAAACAGCATGACTAACAATAGCGCTACGATTTGCCACCTACTTTCTATGCGCTTCAAAAGCATCTATTAATGCATTGCATTCATGGTCTGTTCAAGGTTGGTCAAATCTTGACAATTTTCGACTCGATTGAACTATTTTGCCATATTCGACTATATAAAATATGATGATCATCCTATGCTTCCTTAAGCTCCCTGGTGGTAGGGCGAAGTGGTAGAAACTCCCGTATGCCAACGGGAGGATCCCGGTTCAAATCCTGGTGAATGCAAGTTGTTTGATTTCTTGACGTAGTACTGATGTCCTCGTTTGGTGTTTTGTACTCTATCCATTATCTATATTTTGACGATTTCCACAAGACTGTATTGGCTCTAGGTGTCGCACCTTATTAGTAGTAGATTTCTTTCCCAACTTAGTTCAAAAATATCTTATTCCCCTTCATTGCAGACATTGGGTCCACCAACAGTCTTTTCTATCCCTCAGTATGACATTTAAAGGACTTTAAATAAAACCTGGAGCTCGTCTCCCCTACAAAAAAAAATGCTTCCTTAAGCTTACTTGGAGTGCTTTTCAAGGCGTATCCAATGGTACCAAGATAGATGTTTTGAATAAACTTATTGAGCAATGTATGAAAATATGAAAAGAGGTTTCTGGCCAAAAAGTCGAGATTTTGCATATCAAGGTCCTACAAAGATGATTTTAGGGGTTACGTTAGATCGATAGAAACATTTTGATTCATGATATACCATACCAAAAGTCTTCATTTTCAATGCGAAAAACGCGATCGTTTGATTTTCGATGAAAGCCATGAGGGGTACCACATGCTTTTTGGTCGATTTTTGGCCATGTTTTTTTGGTCCCCAAAAAGTTGAGCAAAGGTGTCAGAAACTAACTGCCAGATGAGAGCAATTGCTTGGTGCTATTCTGACGATCTAAAACAGCCTTGAACGCGAGAAAACGCAGCTCAAATGCACTTAAATTTTGCTGTATTAAGCACACTCTTGACTAAAAAGGGATAATATCTGTATGATACTTGCCCGTATATGAAGTAGTTACGTGTATATGGATGTAGAGCATCACATAAGAATCAGATCCACAGATAATATGGAGGGCTTTTATGTGTAAGTAGAGGTTCAGCATGAAAGTAGTAGTATTTTGATAAGATACGCAAGGGCAATCGGTAGCGCGAGCTGCGGCTGCGTAGGTTAGCTCTCACCGAAGCGAAGCGAAGGTAGAAAGCCATCTGAAGCATAAACACTCGTATCAGCATAAAGATAGCTTCAGCTCCATATTTACGCTTACTGTCAAGAATTAACCAAGATGGGTATGTAATATACGGCCATCACAGAGTATATTCAGAAGCCTACCTACCGAGTGCATAGCCACTGCAAAATTATGCTTGCAGGTACGAGGTGAAGCCCTTTGCTATGTTCGCATGCATAGTAGGACAAATCTTGGGTCAAGACCTCTTAATTTTCACAAGCAATTTCAAATATACTCTGGCTTGTTTAGTTCTCAGCCAGGTTCAAATCATAAGGGATTGGTGTTTTTACGGTACACACACGCACATTAATACCCACCCACCCAGCTTTTAAAATTAGTCAAGTTTTTTTAAACTTTTTCTGCGCTCTTTTCTCCCCGTAGTTTTTTCAATCCACTCAAGAACATGTCCAAGGATCTCAAGCATACTACTGTAGTCGATGATGACTCTGATATTGATGATTTATTAGATGGTAAGGGAACGAGTAAGATGTCCATGTATATCTACTTACCGTGTAGGACGAACTAGATGTCCTGGACGATATGAGTCATTTATCCGTTGCTGAAAAGAAGCCTGTTGTTGCAGAGGTCAAGAAAACAACCACCACTGTTACTAGTGCTGATGATGAGGATCCTGCAGAGCCCAATTTGGATGAATTACTTGGCAGCGATGATTTTGCAAAGCAATTGGCTGCAGGTATGGAACAATTGATGGGTCAAATGGGCGGTGAGTCCAATGATGAGATGAAGGAGGCTTTCGAGAAGGTGTGGGCTTCGTTTGACAATGGTTCTGCTGCTGATACAGCTTCCAGCAATAAATCAGCTACTGCCACTGTTGCTGCTGCTTCGCCATCACCAAGCACACGAGAAGTTCCCAAGGTCCCTCAATCTTTCCAGGACACAATTGGCAAGACGATGAATAAGCTCAAGGATAGCTCAAAGGAGATCGATGTAAGTTGTTTATTATGCGCGCACAGCGTTGAGAGTGAGGTATTGATCATGTCAATCTAGTCATCCATTGCCGAGGAATCAGAAGATGCTTTCATGGCTGAACTGATGAAGCAAATGGAATCTTTGGCTGATAATGGAGAATTTGAAGGCGTATTGGAAGGGATGATGAGCCAATTGATGTCCAAGGAGCTGCTCTATGAACCCATGAAGGATTTGGCTCAAAAATACCCAGCCTGGTTGGAAGAACACAAGGATACTGCCGACAAGGCAGACTATGAGAAATACAAGCAACAACATGTTATCTGTCAACAAATCGTAGCCAAATACGAGGCACCTAATTTTGACGAAAAGAACGAAGCACAGGGCAAAGAAATTATGGATTTGATGACCAAGATGCAAGATTTGGGCCAACCACCAGCTGAATTATTGGATGAAATGGCACCTGGTATGAATTTTGGTAATCCTGAGGGTATGCCCGATATGAAGGATTTAGAGAATTGTAATATTATGTAAAATGTCCCCCCCCCCCTCCCTCCTGCCCTCTCTCCTTTATACATATACAAAATAAATTCATAATGAAATTATACCTCATCTACATGCAAAAGTTTAGCTGGATAAAAATAATCATGTATTTATCATTAGTAACGATTTAAAGCATAAAATTCGAGTAGTCTATATGGTTTAATACGAAAGTTATTCTCTTGAGATATCACGACCTAAAGCTGTCTTCTTCAACCAGTCTGTAATCACTAATGCTCTGTTTCTAGTAGAGAACAAGTTGGAGATATAAGCAGATCTCCAGAAGGCAAATGTGGCTACGCCGCCAGTGGCCAAGTTTCCTCCAGGGCCAAAAGGCAAATCAGCAACAGCCTTGTCAGATCCAACGTAACTACAAGTTAGAGGTGTCAATTAACATATTGTTATTCCAGGTTTTGATCTATGGTACTTACCAAAGGGAGCCTTGATGAGAGTAGTGGAAGGGCTTGATATCCTTGGCTTTGCGAAGCTTACGCTCTTTTCTTGCTTTTTCTTCCTCGGTAACATCAGCAAGCTCAGCCTCCAATTCATCTCTGACAGCCAGTTGCTTGAACAAACGAGCAAGATATTTGCCCTGTTGAGCAGCTACCTGAGCAGTAGGAGCGTAACGAGTAGCAGTAGCATCGCCCAATGCGTAGATATCCTCTGATCCGTCAAGACGCAACCAGTCGTCCACGGCAAGACCACGACGCACTTGCTGCGTTTCAGGGAACTTTTGCATCAAATCCTTGATCAAAGGACGAGCTGTGTTACCGGTAGCCCAAACTAAAAGACCGTATGGAATGGTATCAATGCTACCATCAGGTCTCTTTACTTCGATTTCCTTTTCACGGACCTCCTTTACCATTGTCTTTGTGTGAATAGCAATATTCTGCTCCTTGAAGGTGGATTCAGTGTATTCAATCAAATGCTTGGAGAAGGCAGGCAAGACATTGGGAAGTGCCTCAACCAGAGTGATTCTGACTTTACCCGCTAATTCAGGATACCAAGAAGCTAAATCATCCACCAAGAAATCGTGTAGTTCAGCAGCATATTCAATACCAGTAGGGCCACCGCCTACCACGACCATGTGCAACAAACGGTCCACTTCCTCAGGCGACTGATTAGGAAATGCAGCTGTTTCAATGCAATCCATCAACTTTGTACGAATCTTTTGAGCGTCCCAAACTTCCTTGAGGAAACAACCATATTCCTCGACACCCTTGATACCAAAAGTAGCGCTCATAGCGCCCACACCAATGATTAGATAATCATATGATAAGGTGCTAACTGCATTTTGACCCTTGACATCAGAGTTATCTAACACACACACACAATGAGCAAGTCATTCTTACATATCTATGTCGACATGCAGAGCTTACCAGTAACTGTGATGGATTTCGTCTCTGGGTCGATATGAGTACATTCCGCTTCAACCACCTTGACAGTTCGCGATTTATGACGAGCAATGAAACGAGTGGGCTCAACCAGGGAGCGAATATCAATGGTGCCTACTGTACAACTAGGCAACAAGGGAGTGAACAAAAAGTAGTTGCGAGGAGACACAACAACCTAAAGATAGCGCATTACGATAACATCCAGATAACATCATACATTGCACACTTACCACGTTGTAATGATCGGTATCAATGTCTTTTAAGAAGGAGGTACTGGCCCACCCACTACCCAAGACGACAATGGTCTTCTTTTCAGGATCCACATCGGCTTGAGCTGAAGGATGTCTTTGCACATACATTTCTAATACGGACATGTGAATACAAATCCTCACCTCTCTCTGTTGAACGTATTTGCTTACCATAGCAACCGTATGAGATACCACCCATTAGACCAATTTTAATACCATTTTTGAGCATAGACCACTTTGAAAACTTCTTTGTAGATTGAGCAACTTCAGTAGCATAGAGACGTCTTTGAATTGAAGCAGTGGTAGCTAATCTTGATGAGAGTCTACTACTGTTGCGAACAATAGTGCCTGAAAAAAAAAAAAAAAAAAAAGCTTAATTCACCGCATACAGACCCGCATTGATCATCTTTGAAGCTGTACCTCCCAATGTTCTCGAGATGGATTGCATAGTGTTGTAAATTTCAAGGAAAGGAGAAAGAGAGATAAAGAAAGGGAAAGAAAAGAGAAGACATCATGTCTTAAAAAGTGGCTTATTCCTAATAATCTTTCAACTTGTTCAAGTGTGATGTTATCCGATAGAATTTGTGTGATTTCAGGTGCTAGACAAGGTAGTACTGAACATGTAGTGAGCATGTCATTGGATGGTTGCTTCTGTCACCCCCCGCATTTTCAACTGATTTAGGAAGCGGATGACTGATAAAGAAAAAGTTTATTACATATTCATTCATGTCCATTTGCGTGTGATTTTGGTGCGTTTTGTCTTCTCGAGTTGGTAGATCAAGTTGGCCAAGATCTTTTTATTTCTTACTGATTTAAACAGAGATGATTCATGTATGTAGATGAGAGATGGCTCTGAGACGGAGAAATAGCCTTAAATAGCAATTTGCTGTTATCTGATGAGAAAATAGCCCGAAGAATTCTACATGTGCTTAATGTGGATCTTTCCAATGTTCGTCTTAGATGTTGCAATGATCATGAACAAGCTTCAGCAAGAGCAAGAGGGTATAATGAGCATCATTGCCTAATACATAGATCAGACCCTGTCCTTCAAGCACTCCAAGAAAAAAAAAAAAAAAAAAAAAAAAACTAACCAGCATTATGAAGATTCCATGTATCGATGCCAAACAAAGCGAGCGTCTTACCGAGCGATGGTGGATTATGCAAATCATTGATAGAGGATCCGTAGATGGTATCTGTATTCAATATAGCAATTGTAGCAGACTCTCCAACACTGGCTACATCTCCACCCTGTCTGCCTGGCCATAGGAAGTTTTGCTTTGCCAAGTACTGTAGATCGCTGTCTAAACCATGCCCAACAAGTACAAATCCACCATCGCGTTTGACAGCCCAATCCAAATCTTTCCTCAATTCAATCAAAGCCTGCTTCAACGAACACCACACAGAAGTGCCATAGTTGAATCTCTCTTTTTGGTCCTCCACAAACTGTCCATTGAGTAAATGACGGTACTGATCGTTGATGTAGTGCTGATCCATACACGTATTGGTGCTTGCGTCGTACATGGACCATCCAATTTCCAGCAAAATAGAGTGGTCCTTTTCATACGCTTCAATATCGATGCTCACAAAAACATAGTTGCTTGAATTGACAAGCCGTTTGGCTAATGCGGCTTCTTCATGCGCTTCGCGAATTCTGTTGAGCTGCTTCGTCTTCTTTTTGGCCTTTTGATGGCTTTTGCTGAGGATGTTGGGTGTAAAGGCTTCAAAACGATCAATGATCTCGTATTCAGCAGGTGTCAAAGTCTCTAATTCAAATTCGGGTACCTGTGGAATCTTTTGATGGATGAAATACACCAATTGCTCATATATGTGTCGAGGCATGACGATCTCGCATTTACCCGTGTAGGCACGAACCCCTAATCAATTGCTTTCAGTCAATGAAGGCATCGTTGTAGTGAAAGCTGCTCACCGATACTCAGTGGAATCCCAACCGTGAGTGATTCTGGCGCAAAAAAGTGCACTGGGTCATAAAAGCGATTAAACTCTTTCTGTGCAGATTCACCATAGCTGTAGTAGTAGTCTCGTAATGCGCCATATACCAAATGCCACTCCAAACAGTATTCCTTTTCCATGCTGAAATGTGGTAGGAAAGAAGAAAAAGAAGAAATTTTATATTAGTGAAGCTATTGATTTATTCAACTCAGCGTATAGGCCAAATTCATTGCTCTCTAGAGCGTGCCCATTTCTGCATATTTGGCCCCTCTCTTTCAATCAATGCTGCATTCACTTTGGCTCTCTCCAAAGATCCGTTCAGGCTACGAGAGTACTCGCGAGTGTCTTTTGACGCAAAGAAGCTTTCAACTTGCTGGATCTTGTGCGCATTATTCAGCCCAGAAATCATATAGTTGACTGCATTGCCAAGTGCTCCCATTGATTTGGAGAAGCGTTTGTAGACCTTGTCGTAATTGCTCTCAAAATAGTCAATTAACTTGTAGCGAGCATGGAAATTGGTACCCAACCTATGTTTATAATTTTAGCAGCGGCGACGTATGATGTGCATTCCTCTTTACCCCTTGAAAAACATCCAGGCATCTTGCGTACGCACTTGCTTGTCATCCAAAATGAGATCCAGTGTCTTGCGGATAACACGGTCGCTCCTGACATTGTAGCCTAACGATGTTAATGCTGTCACCTGTTGGTCGACAGGGAAGGCATCATCCTTGTAGATGCTGAAAATTTCTTGCCAAATTCTGTCTTCTTCTTGCTCGTCTGCTGCGTTCTTGAGCACAATTCTATATACAATGCTTCTCAAGTCAGGAGATAAAGCATCATGATCACCGCCAATGAACTGGTTGTAGCGTTTTTTAGCTTCTTCAATGACGTCCTGATCGCCTGCTAGACCTGCCTCACTGATCACCAAAACCCGCAACAAGTTGTATAGCTCTGGCTCAGTTGTATACGTCTTCCAGCCCAGAGCTTTGACAGTAGGGCCAAACACGCTGCGACGCAATTGCTGAAGGTGCGGCTCAATCTTGGGAAATTCTTCCCATAATGCTATCACAGTGCCCAATTGACGGCTCAATTCCGTCAATACACTATGATTGTTGTTAGCCATACAGCCTTTAGCTTTATACAATGTACTTACAAAAAGTTCCTTTCATTTTTAAGCACATCAGCAGCCTGTAAAAAGGCCACTGTAGATTGTTCGCCACTTTGACTGAGGATGCCGAGATCTGAAATCATGCCTGCTCGGTCAATGGGGTCTTCCAATACACCATACGTAGGCTTTCTCAGCTCGTTTATCAGTCTCTGGGTGAGCACAGTATCGTAATTGACACGGTAAAGAGACGTTTGGCCTTGATTTAGCTTGAATGGGTTGTCCTCTGGCACAGTAAATACTTGGCTTTTGTTTGTCAGTGTGTAGTCGAGTATTTCTTTTGGGATTTGTATACGCAGAGGAACCCACCACACAGTGCTAGTAAATAGTTGAGAAGCCTGCAACAGATGGACATGGCGTGCTTACCTGTCTTCATCCTCATGCAGATCGCCCGTCAGCAAATGTCTTGATTGAGAGACTTGAATTTGATCGCTGGCGACTAACGATACATTCAGAATGGGGTACTGCACCAATCAATGAGTAAATGTAGAGTGGATGTTTGAATGCAAGACTTACGCCAGTTTTCTGGATCCACGTATTCATGAATTCAGAGACATTCTTGCCAGACTCATTGCTCAAAGCAGACCAGAGGTCACTGGTGGCTGCGTTGCCAAGTCTGTGCTGAGTCAAGTATCTGTGGATACCAGCCAGGAACACGGGTGTGGTGAGCCATGAGTTGACCATGCGAATCACACTAGCGCCCTTGAGATAGGAAATAGAATCGAATATTTGGTGGATTTCAGAGGGATTGCTTACTGCGACCTCTACTGGATGAGACGAACGCAAGCCATCCAAACCCAAAGCCTCTTGCATGTTTTGTGTTGCAAACATGACCCACGTTCGCCATTCTGGGAAGATGTGATCCACTGCAAACCAACCAACCCAAGTGGCAAAACCTTCATTTAGCCATAAATGGTCCCACCATTCCATGGTCACTAAATTTCCAAACCATTGATGAGCCAGTTCATGAGCCACTACGTAGGCAGTTTGTCGTTTGTAGACAAAGGCTGAATTGGCCTCATCGTACAGGAGCTGTCAGAACGGCGATGAGGCTTGGTTAATTGGACATGTGGATCACTGAAACTTACAGCTGTTGTGCGAAATGTGACTAGGCCCCAATTCTCCATGGCTCCAGCATCAAAATCAGGAATGGCGACCAGATCAAGCTTAGGCAGAGGATAGGGCACACCGAATACCTGGGCATAGTATTCCAGTGTCTTTGTGGCTACATTGAGCGCATGTCGGCCTTGGCTAGTGTAACCTGGCAGCGTGTAGACTCTGGTTCGGATGGGATGTCCATTGAACTTACCAGAGGTATAGCCCTCAATGTATTCCAGCGAACCCACAATAAATGCCAGCAGATAGGTGCTCATTTTCGGTGTTGTGGCGTATTTCACAGTTTTGATAGTAGGATCAGATGATGATGCAGCCTCGGAGATGACATTCATGTTTGATAAAGCCGTCAGATTTTCAGGCACATTCAATGTAACATCAAAAGTCGCTTTAAGAGATGGCTTTTTTTTTTTAAGGAAATGAGTCAATTTCTCGTCATTTATTCAGTGTCACGGTACCGTACCTCATCCCAGCATGGAAACGCTCTTCTGGCATCTGTTGCCTCAAATTGAGTGGTAGCCAAATACCTATCCTTGTGTGTCAGCTGGGAAGCCATCCCTCTTAAAAATGACATACTCACTTGGTATCACCATGGACATCCTTGTAGGAGGATCTGTAAAATCCGCTCATTTCATCATTCAGGATACCTTGAAAATCAATGTCCAACAGAACGATGGACTCTGGAGTAAACGGTTTTTCAAACGTGAGACTCACTTGATTCATGGCATCGTCGTATTGTATATCTATGGCTGAGTAGCTTGGACAGGTTTAGTAATGGAAATCATGCAAACGGTAGGTATTTGGGTTACTTGTATTCACTGCCCACAATGGCGTTTGCCCTGTTGATAACGAGATCGTTGGCATTCAGCACAACCACAGAAGTCTCATTCACGATGCTCAAGCTAATAACACAATGTTGGTTACGCGTAATTGATCACAGTGTTAGTGCCTTACTTAATTTTGACTCTTCCAGTGTATGCAAATGTCTCCAAGTTGGGTGTTAATTCCAAATCATAGTGCAGTGGTTTGACATTGTTTGGCAACACTTGTCTTTCATGCTTTGTCTGCGCCAACACAGTGCTATCTTGACTGAAGTAGACCGCAAGCATGATGGGAACAAGTAACCACAAGGCATATCTGGCCCAAAGAGACCTTTGTTCTGGATCTTTTGTATTACCTTTCTCTTTAATATCCGGCTTCTCCGTTGGAGCAGCAGCAGCAGCAGTGTCTGTATCAGCAGCCATCATGCAATTGATGAGAAAGAAAAAAGAAAGAGGGAGAAAAAGAAACTGATACGCATGGCATGAAATTAATATATGCCGTATTTCTAGTCGTTTCAAGTATCCCATCCTTCACACTGGCTTTCAAATCGAGTAGAGAGAAAACTGGACAGAACACCCAAATGTTATACGTATACTTGGCAATACACAAATCTGCACTAAATCAAGGTTGAGGCGCAGTGTAATATTAGATTTTCCAAATAAGCGACGATCTATATAAATTCTCGGTTGCTCATCTCTAAACATGTGTGCGTGTGTGTGTGTCTCTCTCTCTCTCTCTCTCTCTCTTTCTTTTCTCTTTCTCATCTTTTAGATGCATTTTATAGCAGAAGCATGTTACCGAAGAGTAAGTGGTCTAGTGCTATTTTTTCGATCTGATAAGATGATTCATTTCGCCTTGTTTAGCCTCTGGAACCAAGGGGACTCGTCTATAGTCGAGGTGGTACTGCCATCACCATGGGATTACTGTTCTTATCGTTTTGTGGTTACCTGATCAGTCAAGTAAAGTGCCATTTCCTTCACCTGTCGACCTCAGCTACTGATTCCATCTGATGGTAGATTCACAACGATAGACCTTTGATACAGATCTCGTCAGAACAAATTGAAACCGACACTGATACGCCTGATATCGAGCTGTGTGTGCAAAATTCAACGCTGACTGTCGTCAAATGCACTGCCATGTACTACAATTGGACTGAAGTGGACATCCCTAATTGCTGGGAGCGATTCTTTCGACAAGGAGCCAACAACGAAGCAACTAAATGCTACATATTTGAGACCAACAACACATATCGTATGGCAGCGGGCGTTGTCTATGACAGCAGAGATGCCCTTCGAAGACTCGATTTTTACTGGAACATTGATGATTTAAGGAACTTGAGTTACTCGACAGTGTCATTGCCCGCGGTGGCTGTTCAGCTGTACGATCCACACTTCAATACATGGAAAGCGTCTACAGTGGGCAATACGACCATTGAGGTAAAATTAGGCGTAGTTGCTTGTATCCATTGATACTGACCGCTGGTAATAGAGAGAAACAGCCATCAACATCCAGCTAGGAGCAACGAGAGCAACTACCTTTTTGAATTACACATCGGGCATCTTTTATTACCCTCAAAAGTATCGTGCGATTAGACCTGGGGATGCAGCATCCATTATAGGTTTGGTAAGCATTGCAGTATTATTTTGCTTGTTTCTCTATGCTTACACCTGTTTGTTTTCAAGAAACCAAACTACATCGATATCATGACACTGGTCAACTTTCAGCACGATTGGCCAATTCGAAATAATCCACCACCGCCTCCTCCAGCATTTGATAAAAGTGTAATGTATAAGCTTTTGCTTGGTTTGTTGATGGAGCCTAACACGTCTTACTAGCTGTACCAAGGCTTATTTTCAGTGCAATTGGCACAGAGTACCATTGATGTCAAGGCAAGTATACACAATGCAATCCATATGACGTGTTCTAAACAACATGTCATGTATACAGACTGAAGTAAGACAGCACACCATATTAGCTGCAATCGCTCTTGCTGGTGGATGCTACGGTGTACTGACAACCATCTACATTCTGCTATTTGGCATGACCAGACTAACACCATGGGGCCTAGTGCATCATATTCCAGTCTTCATCAGCAACCGAAAAAACCACGTCAAGGATGGCATGTATGCGGAAGAAGAAGGCGTGTACGCTCACAACAGCAACAACGCTACTACAGGACAGCCAATGCAGCATGAAAACGATAGCAAAGCTGTGCAGAAGAAGAACAGACTGTCAACCACTGTGTTGATACCTTGGTTCTTCCGAAGTCGACTTCGAGGCGATAAGACTTACACAACACAGGGCAGAAATGATACCTTTATGCGACACATGATTACAAGAAAAGAACAGGAAAAAGACGATAAGGAAAATCACCAAATGGAGAGTCTGAATGTTGGAAAAAGCCATGTCCAGGACTCGCCTGAACTACGCTTACTCGACACAAAGGATCGTCAAAGAAACTCTCTCAGTAGCAGCAATAGTAGTAATTCACTGAATGAGCAGTACGTGCACACACCAGCGAATCCCTCGCCACCCATTCTTTCACCACACTATACCATGCCAATGATGCCTGGCGACGGCTCCTCATCGTCTCGCCAATACAATGATCAATCACATTTGGAAAGTATATCCAGCTTGCTGCGTTTGGAGCAAGAAAGATCTGTTAAGCTGGAAGAGAGATCAACAGAGCTATCAAACCGTGTGGAGGAATTGGAGGTCATTCTCAGCGAATATTTCATCAATACGGATTATCTGGATCAACTAAGAGCTAGAAAGAACTCAAAGTTGGTTCCTGCTACCACTGAAAGCGAATCATCCTAATACCATTAATTATATGCCATGTAATACCACCTAATAAAAAAAACAAGTACCCTCAAACTAACATTCTACTGCGGAGAAGGTACCTACTCTTGTTTATTGAGAAAAAAAAAAGTGAATCATATGCAGACATGTTTGCTGTTTAAGCTGAATATTGAGGTGGTAATTCATCATGAGCAGGAGGTGGTGGGTTGTTGTTATGGACGTTGGCGCTGTTGCTCTCGCCTTGGTATGCTGGTAATGGCTCGTGTTCTCTTGGTATCTCGTTAGACTCTCCAATGCGTTCGAGCAAATTTCGCAGTATGGTCGTAAACTCAATGGCACCTGATCAAGCGCAAAATACATGTTAAATTACCTACACAGTCGATATAAAACTGCTTTAGACAAACCTCCTTCCGCAAATGTCAGTTTCAAGTTGCTGTTTCTAGTAAGTCCTCCTCCTTGAACCTTGAAATTGCCTTGGTAAATACATGCGATAACAGAATACAGTGCATGATGACTTACGGGGATGACAACACCTGACACGAAATTGGCTCCAAACCAAGGCTGCTCCAATTTCCAGTTTTTAAAGTTTCGAATGGGCACATTGAGATTTCTAAAGTTTGGTGTGTTTGATGCCTCAGCCAAGTACATGATCTAAAATAATTGATTTATCCATTATTACTGTGTTGCGAGAATCAAGCAAAAGCGGCACACCTACTCTTTGATTTGATAGAATCACTGTTCCTTTACTCGACTCGAAATAACCCCTAATCAACACAAACTAGTCAGCGGATGCTATGCTGCGCAAACCGTCTCTCAGTCTTACTCTGAATGTCCGGGATATCCTCCTGCTCTGTAGCAAGCTATTAGCAACTCTGACACAAACAACAAAGGCATACCAAGATACATTACGAATCATTACAATCTAGAACCATCTTCACGTGGGGTTGTATAAAGAACATTTTCTCCTGGGGCAAAGGCACTGGGCTTTTGCCATCCTGTGTCAACATGACCCAATTTATACTCATGATGTTTTATTTTTTTTTTACTGATAGTAAAGAAAGAGAAAAAGAAGAAAAAGTGATAAAAAAACGTAGCTTTTTACATGCTCAATTGGCATCACGTGTGACGCAAGTTGGCATGAACCATTAGTTTTTGGAGGGAGCATCAGGTTGGTTCTCGGGCAAAGCAGCAATGAATTCGGGCAACTGAGAGCAAGCATCGTTGATGCGACTAATAATAGGGAAGGCAGACAAGTCAACGTTCCATCGTTTAGCATTGCCTACCATGGCGCAGACAAAGATATCTGCCATGGTGATTGAGTCGCCTACAGAATAGGTGCCAGATGTCTGTGCCAATCTTCCTTCCAGACCCTTGAAGCCAAGTGTTACAGATTCCTTTGCCCAAGCAGCACGCTTGTCCAAATCATCTCCTGCAACTCTCTTCAAGACGCCCAGATTTTGAATGGGATGAATATCACAGGCAACAATCTGGCTAATTTCACGGACAAGAGCCTTCTCGAAAGGTGACTTAGGAAGTAATGGACGGTCTACAGATGTGGTTTATGCATTGACATTAGTAAGCAATATGTGCCGGACCCACAATCTGTCTGTGCACATACCAGGATAAGCTTCGTCAATGTACTCAATGATGGCCTCACTTTGAGATAGCAGCTTACCCTCCTTGGTGATGAAGGCAGGCACCTTTTGTGTGGGATTGACCTTGAGGTACTCATCTTTGTTCTGAAAATGGCATGCGTGATCATCATGAGTCATTTGCAACACTTTTCTAGCGCTCGACTTACATTGGCATTTTGGAACAAATCAACAGGTCTATAGTCGTACTTGATACCCTTCCATTCCAAAGCAATACGGACACGCCATGAAGCGGAAGATCTAAAGTAACTGTAGAGGATGGGCTATTTGTTCTAATACGTCAGTCATCCGCACATGTCGAGCCATATCAAGCCATGTATTACCTTTTGTTCAGTGCTCATTTTAAAAAAGTGGAATTAACGAAAGAGACGTGCGAGTAAGATTTCTCACACTGGAAGATCCCTTTTATACTAGGTGCGTTTCAGTGTGCTACCATTGTTATAAACACCATCCATCATTGCGGCCGTAAGGAGATTGTGACCGCCCGCAAACGCCTATCATGTAAAAAATCTCAACATGAACTGGTTTATTCGCGTTTTCATCAACTCAATTTATCCAAGAAAATGTCAAGCACTATTGAGGATAACGAATTACCAAAGGCTAATGTCACAAGAGTCTTGAAGAGTGCTGTAAGTTGCTTGAAAATGGATCAAACATAGATCATCTTATACCTTGTTATTTCTAGCTTCCTCCTGGCACTGCTCTACAAAAAGATGCTCGACTAGCAGTGAGTAAAGCAGCTACCGTATTTATCAATTACGTCTCTTCAGTGTAAGTGCAGTACGCATCAGTCGCTACCGGATAGAAAAATCTAATTGTATCCACTACCTAGAGCAAATGATGTTGCCAAAGGTGCAAATCACAAAACGATCAGTGCTGCTGATGTCTTCAAGGCGTTGGATATTTGCGAATTAGAGCACATGGTACCAGAGTTGCAAGAATCGCTGGCTGGTAAGTATTCATACATAGTCAATGGAAACATATGCTGAACAGATGTGTATTAGCATACCAGCAAATTGTACTTGACAAGAAACAACAAAAGAAAAGGGAAAAGGATGAATCAAAAGCTAAAGAAGACGATGATGATACAGCAATGGAAGAGCCATCAAGAGGTCAAAAGCGTTCTCTTGAAGACGATGATGAAGATGACAGTATGTCTGTCGATCTCAAAAAGGTCAAGAATGACGAGGAGGAGGAGGAGGAGGAGGAGGAGGAGGTAGAGGAAGAAGAGGAAGATCAAGAGGAAACTCAAGAAGAGACCATAGACGATGAACAACCTTAGGATTTAATCATACTATCTTGCAGTCAGCATGATCACAACCACTCTGTTTCTCCCATTGTAAATAATAAAAGACCAAGAAAAGAGCGATTTCTATTGTGGACGAAGGCTTTGTAGAAACTTTTGTGGCTGTCGATTGCCGAATGCACTGAAAGCGAGATTGTACAGTAAACAATCCTTTTCAAATTGCCATTTTGAAGTATATAGATGCTTTTGCGACAGTGATCTTATATAACGAAATAGGATGCCTGTACGATTATCCTAATCAATTACGACTAACTCCATGACTAACGTGCATATCTATAATGGAGTTGATGGCTGTAAAATTTAGATTTTTGTTATAATCGGTTAATAAGCGTTTACAAAGATTGGTCTGGAAAAAGTGCATATAATCTAGGCAGATATGTTGGTAAGTAAGATCCCAGCTGTTCCAAGATTGACTACGCAGAATTGAGAGATAATGTAACATTGAGATACATTGCGCTGGCATTGACTTGCCAAAGACCTTGTTGAGCGAAAATAGAAGAGATAGTTGCAAAGTCGATCCGTAACAATAAATTGGGATCAGGAATCAAAATGGATGTATGTGTCGCAGCTATTTACATCTGTTGTTACACAAGTCAAATGATATATATATATATATTAGAGGTAACTGTCAAACTCAATAAACGATGTCTTTTAACTTATAACTGATTCATTATCATCATTATATATATTGGAAAACATGAAAGCAAAAGCGTCGTCGTAGCCAATCAGATACTAAAAGCTCCTCTCCCAAGAGCATAACGCATCTAATTCAAGTGATTTCTTGCCTGCTATTTGGCTGTGGATTGAGTGATTTGTGGTGTCAAGACAACATTTGGTAACATTGGCCTTAACAGGGGTTTACCGTACCGAAGCGAAGGCGAAAGACCATGACAGTCAATCATCTAATCTAATACTTGATAACAGTGACCTTAATAAGGGTTTTGTTGTAGCGAAACAAAGGTGTAAAACCTTAGTCTTCAAGCACTAAATTCGGTTTCTTTTTTCCATTATTAACAAGCTTACCAATAACATAACGCATCAACATTTGTATCAATTAGCCTTACCAAAATCAATATTCCTTCTATTTGGGTTAGAAATTGCACAGGCTACAGAACTGTCCTTCCAGAAAAGCACAGCTACCAGAAGTGTGATTCATACAATGTAAATAAAAGCTATAAAGTAAAAACATGACCAAATTTGACAACTTTCAAGCCTCCATATCTTGAAATGTAGAACTTTCTGAGCCGCTGGAGTAACGCCAAACAATTGTACTTGAGTAGCAGCAACTTCCTGGTACCTTTGCTCAACTTTTTGGGGACCAAAAAAACATGGCCAAAAATCGACCAAAAAGCATGTGGTACCCCTCATGATTTTCACCAAAAATCAAACGATCGTGTTTTTCGCATTGAAAATGAAGACTTCTATTACGGTATATCTTGAATCAAAATGTTTCTATCGATCTAACGTAACCCCTAAAATCATCTTTGTGGGACCTTGATATGCAAAATCTCGACTTTTTGGCCAGAAACCTCTTTTCATATTTTCGTAAATTACTCAATAAATTTATTCAAAACATTTACGTTACTTTTTACCATTGGTAGCGCCTTTAAAAGCACTCCAAAAAAGCTTAAAGAAGCAGTTTTTTTTTTTTTGTAGGGGAGACGAGCTCCAGTTTTTATTTTAAGTCCTTCAAATGTCGCTATGAGTGATAGGAAAGACTGGGTATGATTACAAGAGGATCGGAGGAACGAAAGAAAAAATAAAATAACAGATAGAAAAGAGCAAATGGATAAAAGAGGAAAAACTGAATACTTACGAATCTAGCTTTAACTCGGCATCCAAGCGAGCAAGAGAGCGAGCAAGACGATGTTGAACAGTGTCAGCGATGAACGGGGTTCGGTCGAAGATCCAGCGCCAGTGCGCTTGCCATATTGTCAGCAGAGTAGTTGCGAAAAGTTGAGGAATAGAGAGATCATTGAACGAGAGAGAGAGATCACGATCAAGATAGGGAGAGGAACAGAGTAATATTTGTTGGAAGAAATGAATCAGATCAACATCAGAGATTGAGGAAGAAGCAGAGAGATAGGTGTGGTACATGTGTCGCCAGACCAATAACTTGGGAGGGCAGGAGAACAGAGTATGGGTGATATCCTCCGTGGTAGAGGCAGAGCAGATGGTACATAGGGGAGAAGGGTGTTTTTCGGGGATGCGTAAATGTAGCAGAGCTCTTGAAGGGATTTTTTCGTAAATAGCTCGGTACCAGACCGCTTAAAGAAGCAGAGGATGATCATCATATTTTATATAGTCGAATCTGCTAAAATAGTTCAATCGAGTCGAAAAACATCAAGATTTGGCCAATCTGGAACAAACTATGAGTCTGAGCTTTAATTGATTTTGGCTGGTGGGGCCGGCTGGCAAACTCAATGCCCTTGAAACGTATGGAAAATAGGTGGAAAGTCATAGCACTATCGTTTATAATGATATTTTATTGTATTCTATATCGTTCATAATAATATTTTCTTGCATTCTATATTTAATAACTTTAGTCTGGACATTGACGATTCATGGGCTGCGTAAAATTTGTGCAGTAAGTATTGAAATCTCTGAAGCTCCGAGCCGTCGTTCAAGGGAAAGGTTGGCAGCATTGATCAGAGGAAAGATGGTAAAAATAAAAGTAGTTTTTGTTGATTGATCGTAAAATCATTATCCACATATGAGCCAGGCCTGACATATGCCTTGAAACTCGGGTTCCATATTAGGGTTGTAAAGTGCAAAAGGATTATAATATGATATTGAATCAAAATGTTTCTCTTGATCCAAAGCAACTTCTAAAGCCACTTTTATGAGGCCCTCATATGCAAAATTTCGACATTTTGGCCTAAAACCTTATTTCATATTTTCTGGAATGGCTCAATAAGTTCAGTCAAAACATCTATTTTACTTGGCACCATTGAAAACACCTTGAAAAGTGCTCCAAGAATGTACTAGGAAGCATTTTTTTGTAGGAGAGTCGAGCTCCAGGTTTTATTTAAAGTCCTTGTACTAGGAAGCATTGGATGATTATCACAGTTTATATAGTCGAATATCCCAGCATAGATTAAAGAAGTCGACAAAAACCAACATTTGGCCAATCTTGAGCAGAAAAAAATAACTGAGTTTGAAAATCTTTAGCGGCACCGGCGGGCTGCGCTGTTGCAGGCTGGCCCAAATGTCTTTCTGATGATGACAATGATGGTTACGATGCTGCTTAAATGAGGATCATAAATTTTAAAAAACAATCTATTAGCTTGAGTCCTTTTTTCTTTGGTTTTATTGGGAGTTTTCCCTATAAAGATATCTTTTGCAATAATAATCTTGCTGTATCAACAGATGAAATTTTAACAAATTAAGATAGATTTCAAAAGGAAAACTAAAAAGTAACCAGATACGAAAACAATAATTTATAAATTGACTCGGGCACATCTTATTTATACTAAATTATTATCGCTGAATCAATCTATCTATCTTATTGTTTAACCTGAGTCAATACATCGAGTTTTGTATATCCAATACCGATCATTATGAAGGATCCAATCGTCAGTTCAGCTACGATGATACGATTCGCAAACTATCATCGTCATTCGCAATCACGGACTTTCATAGCCAATCATGTAGTTCACTTCTATGTTGAACCTTGCGTCCCAACATAGACAGTGAGTAACAATGTAAATCATGATCCGACTACCACTGAATTACTGAGCTCTCGTAGCTTCTACAGACTCAACAAATCTGTCAGAAAAACCGCTGTAGATCTCATAGAAGTCCTGTATTTATGCATGATCAACTCTGTGTCGCCATCTCAAGAGCAACATCCGCAAATGACACGACAGTTCTGCTACTAGAAAATGCGACTTGGACGAAGAATGTATGCACCTAGAAGTCTTTTTGAACATAAATGCTGCATAAAAAAAAGCTGTTCTAAACCTCGCCAACTCCTGTCTTCTAATCCATTTTCGAGTTAAACATAGCCATTATTTAAAATCTACTTGATATACCAATTTTTTATTGTCTATGATTTAAAATGTCTTCTGTCAGAGCCCGCAGAGCGACACTGTCATTGAGCGTAGCGAGATAGATCGGCTAGTATTACTTATAGTGTATTATTTTCAAGACATATGCAAAAGAAAAAAAACTACACGCACTACTTTCATAAGAAGCAGTAAAAATAAGCGTCGCCTGCAGGATTCGAACCTGCGCGCTCAAAGAGCAATAGCTTAGCAGGCTATCTCGTTAACCACTCCGACAAAGCGACAACTTGTCTGCTGTCATTGACATGTTTGATAGGTTGGTACCTGAAGCCGTATTGCGACACAACGCCAATAAGAGGCGAGTGTTTAAGCCAACCATTCCGGTCCGCAGACAATTTAGAAAGAAGCAGAAGCTAACGGTAGTGACTGACGTCAGCCGTAATATATAGCTAGGATATAAACAGGGATTTGATTGAATTGAATAAAGGGGATCTTTATCTTCTCATCTAATTTTGTATACATATATACTGCAGTGAAATCAGGTTTAAACAGATTTCACAAAAAAAATAAAGCAATAGTAAAATACAATAGAAATCAACTGTATTTTATTTTATGTATAAAATGAACTGAAGATCCTGGAATTGAGTAAAAAAAGAAGAGTATTTATACATTTGCAACTAGCTTGTAGGATTAGTGATGATAGAGAGCAATAGGTGCTGCTATTGCGATATCTGGCAAATGTTGCTGATGTTTGATTTAAAGTGGTAATCAATGCAAGAGCAATGGCCATAAGGGTCGATTTGAGTAACCTTGATGGGCTTGGGTGAGCTATCGTCATAGCATGATTTAATGTAACCTTGATGGTTTAAAGTGTGATGTTTGTTATTGAAGTATGGAATCCTTTATCTGGGATATTGTGCAACTATGGCAGCAGGGCATAGTTGTCATATTTGAATATGCTTGTTATTG